TACTTCACTCTCTTAGATATCAGGCTTATGCAATAACACGTTAATTTCCAAATTTGTATGAGCGCAGTTTTTTAAACATGTTAAGTAAAGCAACTCCCGAATGATGCACATATATCATTTTAGTAACCTTTTTGTTTATTTCGTCTTTAAATATGACCTTATGGCATGTTTACAAACAGCTCAGTTATTTACGGGCCTGGCTTGGGGTAGGGTTTTACTCATATGTTACCCAGTCATTCGATTACGAGAACAAGGAAAATCATCCAATCAACAGTTAGTATTCGTTAAGCCCGAGGAGGTAGTCAACTTCCGGCACCTGTGCGGACCGTCATTAATCAAGTGAAATATGCTTCTAGGCAACATCCCACTTCCTGGGATGGGTTTGGTTGTCATCGATGTTTCTGCTGATCACGAACGGCCTTGTCCATTATGAAACTAAAGAGAAATTGAAAATATGCTATTTGTAACTTGGTACACCAAGATCGATATGCATGGTCATATTATCACGCTGATACCCTTCTGTTAAAAATGTGATTTTGGTATAATTTTAACTTTTTTAGCTATTTTAGTTCACTCAGTGAAGCACACACAGCTGATTACTCTCGACGAAGATGGTTGACAATACATCGTTCTAGCAATACATTTGTACACGGGTTCATATTCACTGTGCTCACCAATCCTTATCCGAACACCGTCCTTCCCTGCCCATCTATATGTAGTCACCACGTTGCCATATACTGATTCCTGTAATTTGAAATCCACTCAAATAATTGCTCATTCACTCAGAGTTTCAAATCGATCTTACAATCAACCAATCCGAAAATCCAGAAACCTGTCTAGTTTGGCGGGTTAGTTTGTACGGTTGGTGGGGTCGGGGAAGGAATTACAGTTAGACACTTGAAAAACAGTTTACACCATAAGAGTCACATTTCTAAATGTACCTGCTTATAAAACACCTCGCCAAGTATATGTTTACGAGCACCTGTCCACGCGATGTGTGTTTGACGCTTAGGGCAAGACGTGTCTGTGCCGGGAACGCAGTAGCCGAGACGAATTATGCAGTCAGCGTTACGTGCCTCCAAAGACAGACTTTATGAACCTGACCAAACGAGTCTTACTTATTCAATGTCACGGGGAAGTGATTATGTCTGAAACTAAGGAGAGGGGAACTGATACGACTGATGTATCAATTGTGCCTGAAGAATGGAATACTGTTAGGGACGTTTTCGCACTCGGCATATATTTTAGAATCTGATGTGGTCGAGATTACGAAAAAGCCAAAACTTGATGACTCGTCGTATAAGATTTTGAATATTAAAAGCACCAAATTTTGTATTGCCTTCCTCAAATGATTTGCGAAAAATCTCTCACCGACCATCATTCCCGGGTTAATTACCAACCAGTCTCAACTTCAAGTAGTAATTTAAGGGGTTTATTTAATAATGATTGGAGTGTTGGAATGTGCTCCAATCAGTTTACAATTCACTTCGCAGAGACTAGGACATCCGCAATGCCTTGGTACATGTCTACAATTACGTCATTGATACCATAAACCAGTGGTTGATAACGTGAGATACTGCCCAGCAAAGTCATACATTGTCGATATTCATATTCCTGCTCCAACTACGAGCTTTGAGTAGGTTGGGTCCAAAGCCTCATGAACGACGGAGAGGTGAGTCATACAGTTTAACGCTGGGCTGTAAGTTTGAAGTGCCAGTTCACCGAGATACCGTCGCGCAGTGAAACGTGGATCACCCACTCATAGACGGTATACTGACAGTCCTTGTTCCATCCCTTAACGCTCTATCAGCAGGCAAGGAAACATCAAATTTCATCTTTTGAGAAATTTTGGTTTTGTCTTAGTTCCAGGGAAAGGAGCTTTGTCGACATGCCTATAGATACGGTGTTTGCGCAAGAATAAGGAACTGATTCAGAACTACCTGATAACATAACTAGAAACAGCTTAGTGACAGAAATAGGCGTCTTACAAAATGACATGAAAACATCTAAAAACTGGAATATTTCCCCGTCTCATGTGTTCCTACCTAGATTCGTCTGGTCACATATAATAATTTCTTTGACATTTTGTTTTTTGTATACGGTACTACATTTTCCAAAACAGTATTACTCCCGATCCGATTTCATCAAATAGTGACTTCAAGTACTGAACAAGTATTCTGTCTTAATTACGATGAATTCTATAGATATCGTAGTGATAACGACTTAGCTATAGACACACAAGTTCGCCCTAGTGGTAGTGGTTAAAAGCTTTATAAGAAACGACACTTCACTTCGCAATCAACGAAGCAGTGCAAATCACTGTACTATCACAAGTATTCAGTGCTCATGTAGCTGGAGGTGGGTCTCCGTAAGTTTGGTATTGTGTTTCCCTTAGGTAACTTGTTGACCTGGATATGTCTGAGGCTGGATTGAATTCAAATTCCATGGCGCCCTCAACATATTCTGTGTCGTACCAAAAACAAGAAACATGACGAAGAAGTTAATGAAATGAACATAATAGTAGTAGCAGCAGCAGCAGTAGTAGTAGCAGCAGCAGCAGCAGTAGTAGTAGCAGCAGCAGTAGCTCAGACACTAATTTGGTCGCATCATATGTCATTCATAAAAGGTACGAAAGCACTACTGTAACTGAGTGAGTGAGTGAGTTAATATTTAACGTCACATCGGCAATATCTCAGCCATATCGTGACGAAGACAATTTATACAATTAAAATGAAAACATTTTGAAGAGTAAAATCTGTCGACGATGGACGGTAAAAATACTAGAGTATCACAGATATGAATATAAAACTAGCATGTAAATCTAAAACATTTTAATTGAAGAAGACAATACAATATAAAACACGGGCTATAGATCGCCAACAACTGAAGGTAGATCTCACCATGCTAGGAACCATGGTGACTTACACTACTTTTGCTACCTGCATGGACCCTAGTTGCATTTACACCATCCCTTAAAAGCTTCAGCCGCTGGCGATGGTAGGAAGATATAGCCAAAACAACTGTAACTGAAAACAAAAACGAATAATGTATACGACTCCTCGTGGCAGATGCTACAAACTCACTAAACGTTCAAAGGCACAGATAGCGAAAGGGAACAACAGATCAAAGTCTACATGCGCCGAGTGTATGAGATGCAGTTCCAACAAGCGCATTCTATTGATCGGAGGGCTATGGATTAGACCTGCACTAACACTGCAGTGAATATCTCCCTTGCCATATTCAGGCTGAGGGGGAGGACAAGGTGCGGCTTGGGGTAACGGCATCATGGCGGAATGTCCATGGGTGTGGGACCATTAGGGGAGAAATCTGTCCAATATTTTGACTGGGAAGAAGGGCAACCTGATAACACTGGCAATAAACAGAACTGCATGGGCCGGTGGAAAACATTTCCCTTTCAATGGGCTGATCAGTACTGCAGCAATGGATTCCTGGGTGAAAATCTCATTAATGTTTTTTAAAATGGCTACCTTTGAAATTCATATAGAAAATTAAGGCTATTTTTTGCAGTAACAAAATGTGTTATTCATTGATTTGATTTCAATAAGATATTATGTTTTTCCTTCAATGTTTCTAATATGGATCCGGATTCAAACTGCGTAATCAAGTCTTGTGAATGTGTACAAAACAAAAGGACCTGCTTAATCTCTTTCTGTTTAACCCCTTTTATCTGAAAAGTTTAAAGTAAAGTTTAAATCTCTCAGACTACACTGCGGAAATGTAACGTCATGCAGCATATAATAATACAAGGCAAAAGTGAATCGAGACGGTAGATGTAGACTTATTCACCGGACCGCCTTCGCCTCAGTGGGTAAGTACATGCGTTAGAATGTACGTTTTAAATACATATCTTTAAAGAGAATTTATGCTGGGGCGGTAGGGTAGCCTGGAGGTTAAGGCGTTCGCTCGTCACGCTGAAAACCCGTGTTCCATTCATTCCCCAAATAGGGTACAATGTGTGAAGCCCATTTCTGGTGTCCCCGACGTGATATTGCTGGAATATTGCTAAAGGCAGCGTAAAATCAAACTCTCTCTCTCAGTCAGTTATGTTGTTATCGTGTCTGGAAGTAAAAAAGAAAATGACTAAACTTGAAAAATATCACAGGTACTAGAGTGAAAAAATGAAGTATTCCTTGTCGATGTTGTGTTTGATTGTTGCGTAACACCGCCTTTAGTCGAGTTCCACCTTTATGTCGATGCGCTGTAAGTCCTCGAATCTGACCAGACAGGGATACGTTGAAGTGTATCAACTGAGTCAGTAAAGTGACTACTGCCCGACGCCATTGTCGTGTTTCTATGAATATACACAGGTTGTTTACTTTGCTGCATACAAAAGTCGTATTGTTATGGATATCGTGATTGATAAGACAAAACCAGCCATGATACCAACATGGACTGGTTGCCTTGAAAGGTCATCCATTTTCACAGTCCCAATCCCATGGTTAATCATCTCCTACGACCAGCATTTGACACGACGGGTTCTCGGCCTCAATACAGAGGTACAGACTGGAAACACTCTTTCATCACAAAATATTGACTATAGAAACAGGTGCCTTATATCATCTGCACAGCGCTTGGAAGTAAGGGGAAAATCGATGTCCATTCATATATCCATAAAACATTATCTAGATTCAATCCTCCACACAAAAGGGATTCCTTTTCAGTTTTATTGCATACAGCGCAATGGAATTCCAAGTTGTTTTTGCATTGGAAACAATTTTTAATTATAAAATATTGATTATAGAAACGGGTGCCTTATATCACCTGTACAGTGCTTAAGAGAAGGAAAAATCAATGATCATTCATATGTCCATATGTAGATTCAATCCTCCACACAAAACGGATTCCATTTCTAGTTTCTTTGTACGCAGCGCTATGGGATTCCAAGTTGTTTGTACACTGGAAATGTACCGTAATCTCCATGACCTGGTTAGATATTGAAGCCTTAGTGACTTGGTTATAGAAACACGCGCTTTTTCCCACTGAAACCGATTACATGTCACTCTTCATAAGGAGCACTAACGACCGCTTTGCCGGGCTGGACGTTGAACAATGAGCAAAACTGCGCTGTCTCTTCTTTTCAGCGCTGTGGTCGCAATAGGTGGGTCTCCGTAAGTTTAGTATCGTGTAGTGTCTGAAAACCGTCTGTAACCCTGCCTTGTCCACTCAGGTCTGCACCGTTAGGTCATGGCGACTAAGATGTGCTTGTGTTTCTATGTTGTGTTCACCTGGCAGAGCTGAAAGGACTAACAATTATCTGCTCACCAAAGTCATAATTCTAATTCTTCGCTGTGAGCATGTTTTGTGGGAAATCAGCACTGCATCGTAATTAGTAATAGTAATGATAGGATTCGAAATACATGCGTTTGTCATATTGCATCGTAAGTAAAATGACCCGTGAAGTTCCGGGTTAGAATCTTCAGTAGCCCATGCTTGTCGTAAGAGGCGACTAAAGGGTTCGGGTGGTCAGGCTCGGTGACGTGGTTGACACATGCCATCGTAGATTGATGCTTATGCTGTTGACCACTGCATTGTCTGGTCCAGACTGGATTATTAACAGACCGCCGCCATATAGCTGGAATAGCTGAGTACGGCGTTAAACAACAAACCAACCAATCATTAGTAAAATGTAGAAACATTGACATTAACTCTCTCAACGACGAATGCTGATAACGAACGTCCTGAAATTTGCCACAATGCCATCAACTATTCATGTGAGTCATACCTCTCTGTTGCCATACATGTATACAGTATTGTAATTGCAGCGGCTGGTCAGACCACGTGTCCAGACAGCTGGACACATTATGGAACCTCCTGTTATGCCTTCTACAACATGCAAGCCACCTTCATCGACGCAGTGGTAGGTAATGATGTAACAGGCATGACGCAAGCTCACAAATAGATCCTCATACGACTGTCGCTACAAATGGTATACAGTAATAAGTGACATGGACTTACGAACTCTACGCCCAAAGACGAACTTCGCATACGCTATAGTAACGGACCAAGAATACAGACAAGAACTGATCATAAACAAAAGAGGCAACTGACGGGATTGAGTAGTTGATGGATGTCGTATCACAGTTGCGTAAATCGATGCTCATGATGTCAAACACCGGATTTGTGGTCCAGGTTCGATTATTTACAAACCGTCATATAGTTTGGAATATTGCTAGTACAGCGTCATACAGCGAACAAACAATTTCGACCAAAGCATTAACATACGAACTTCAGACTGCTGGATCTTTGTGCATTGAGGACACAATGTGTCATCCATTGGAGCATATGCTGATTTACTTGAACATTCACCATGATGTTATTATGTCTGTATGATTGACCCGTGAAGATCCGGGTTAGAATTGGTCTTCAGTAACCCATGCGGCTAACGGATCGGGTGGTCAGGCTCGCTGACATGGTTGACACATGTCATTGACACAAGCCATGTGCTTAGATCAATGATCATGCTTTTCATCGCTGTATTGTTTCGTCCAGTCTCTACTATTTACAGACCGCCGCCATACAGCTGGTATATTGCTGAGTGCGGCGGAAACCTAAAGACTGAGTAGCGAACGAATATTGTATTATTAAGAAAAGTACTAGGATTATTAAGTCTAAAATCCTGTTTCTTGTAGAGTTTGTGCTCGTCATTCGGTGGTTCCTATCTGGCGGAGATTGAGACTGAGGACGAAAACAAGCACATCCAGGCCTACATGCAGCTCCAGAACAGTGAGTAGGGATGGTAGCGATGTAGCAGTGGGGGGAACGTGAACATCAAGGCCTCAATGTACACATGCGGCTTTAGAATAGTAAATGGTCTTGTGGTATAGTTCTTGAACCACTATCAATGTGACGTTAGAACATTAGCAGAACCGGTGTTAATAGTGTTAGCCGGTTCACTTGCTTTTGAAACACATACGTTTGATGCTGAATCTAGGAGTGCAAGCGTAGCCATGATACACACGGAAGAGAGTTTCTCGGACTGTCCACGGTGTACTCGTGCTGAAGTCGCAAAGAGTTCCCGTGTTCTTTCGCACACCTGGATCAGTATTGGGGCATCCGTATATTTTATAGGTTTCACATTTCCAGCCTTAACCAACAAATGAGTGGACGGGCAAATGGGTTTTACTAACTGTATAAGTTATCTTATGAAATTTAAGAATTTACATCACTTGGTAACAGTCATTCAATAAATTAATGAATAGCGATTGATTCGTTTTGCTGCGGAAACAATTTTGTTTATGAAGATTGATGGAGAAAGATAAAGCTGACCTGGTGTTTTAAGAGTGTTGTTGTTGTTTCATCAGGGCACTAATTCCTCAATCCACGGGAAAATTTGAGATGCGAAAGGTATCTATTATTTCGCGTCGGTATGGAAATCCAGAGCGGGCGGCAGATGGGAAGCTCAGATGGGAAACTCATTGAAAGACTCATGATTGATTATTTTATCTGAACTTTTAAAAGAAACCAGTTGTCAACACATTCCATCATATTACCATATCTCGTTTAACACGGGTAAAGCAGAAATGTATTTGAATAACTTATCAGTTACTAACCAATTCCAAGAATATGTTTAATGTTTAATATTTTGAAACTTTCAGAACTTATTGTTTCGGTTGTCTTCTTTTGTTGTTGTTGTCTTTTTTGTCCTTTGTCCACAGCAGTCAGCCTAATGGCGGCTGCCCGTAAATAATCGAGTCTGGACAGTCCAGGGATCGATGTGATGAGTATCTATGTACACAACGGGAATACCTTGTCATTGACATGCATCTACCAAGTCCGCAAACCTGACCACCTGATCGCGATATCGTCTTTTTCGACAAGCAAGGGCTGCCGTAAAAGCGTTTTAACCTACAATCCCCCAGGTCTGAAATTTTAAAAGAAAATTGCTAATAAACACATTGTGTATATTGAGTGTTCCGATGTAGTGTGAGACATTGAGGTACATTCTTTTGACCGAAGGGCTATGGATTTGATCTGCAGGGAAACTCCATTGAATATCACCCTCTTTTATGTTCGAGAGCGGAAGGTCGCGGGTTCGATCCCCGACCGCGTCATACCAAAAGACGTTAACATATGGTACTTGTTGGTCCCTGCCTGGCGCTCGGCATTAATGGGTACATCAAGGACTGGTCGGCTCGGAGTCAGTATAATGTTTCTGAGTGGTGTATTCATGCTTCACTGCGGCATGGTATCTCAGTGGGCTAGCTCTTATAAAACCAGCTTCAGTCTGGGCTAGTACAAGCAGCCGCACATACACATACACACGCATGCACGTCGTCATATGAGCGAAATATTCTCAAGCACGACGTTAAACCCAGTTTCACCTCACCTCACCTCACCTCTTTTTTGTTCCAGCTGCAGGGATTGACGGGGTGTGGCTCGGGGGTAACGACATCATGGCGGAAAGTCTGTGGGTGTGGGACAAGTCTGAGAAACCTATCCAGTATTTCGACTGGGCCAACGGACAACCCGACGACACTGACAGGACACAAAACTGCATGAGCCTATGGAAACGTTTCAACTATCAATGGGCCGATCATTATTGCACTGAAAAACTTGCATTCCTGTGTGAACAAGCGTAAGACTCTAACTGTTGTTTCGAAACAACGTAGGAAAGATTAGATTGTGTTATTTTGCAGTGACAATATATGAATATCAAATAAATGAATGTCATTTCTGTGTATTTTACTGCCTGCTATATTATTTACCACTAACTGCGCAATCATTTCGTGTATATGAATTCAAAGTAAAAGTACGCGTTTTATCTCATCTTATCAGCAATACTTGATTGAAAAACAACGAAGAAGATGCCCTAAATGGTAAAGGAAATCATTCGTGTTTCAGAGCGACATAGAATCGAAATGGACTTTTCATCAAGGTCTTCTCCGAGGTGGAACAACATGCGTGTGGAAGAATATTAAACTGAAATAAATATATGTTAAAATAGTGTTCAAGTCTGTGATAAAGAAACACGGGGAAAGCACAGAGGCATGAATACACTGCTGAAAAGAGTCTCGTGATAATTGATATTGGTACGACGCCCTCTGAGACCCCGTTGTAGAATGCATGAGTATGTCTGGCAATATTTCATCACTATCACTGCCGGGGACACGGATTTCTGTGTTTCACACTTTGCACCAACTTGGTACAATTTCTGTCAATCCTGGATTGTGTTTTGAAGTAATTATTTACACCCATGATTTAAGAGTGAATGTGTGAGGTTAGTTTTACGCTGCATTTTAGCAATATTCCAGCAATATCACGGCGAAGGACACCAGAAATGGGCTTCACACATTGTGTCCATGTGGGGAATCGATCCTGGGTCTTCGGCGTAACGAACGAAGGCTTTTACCACTAGGCGACACACACACTCACACACACACACACGCACGCACGCACGCACGCACGCACGCACGCACGCACACACACACGCACACACACACCATTATTTGAAGCATTAAGGGTTGCATTCTCTCGTATGTATTTATGTATATATCACTAATAAATTGGCTGGCGTCGCTGGTAAATACAGTTGAACATTTACGCAATACGTTTATGATAACATATCCCATCAAATACATTTCTCCAATATCTCAAACATGTCATCACAGTCACTCTAGTCGGCCAGTCAGGCCAAACCAATGCCAGTGTATATGGACTATACAACAGGATTTTACGGCCGCATCCGTTCCCAAGGTACAAAGACAAGGATGTACAATATTGATTAGAGCATCATTTTGTGTGTGTGTGTGTCTGTTTCACGTAGCTACCAAATTCTGAACATGGGACGGTCAGTCGGGAACACACACACACACACACACACACACACAAACATAGATTAATAAAGACAAAATTATCTGAATAATGTTCTTGATTCTCATTTATTGTAATTCTTATTACAATTTCTCGCGGTCTCCGGACTTGTGACAGCGACTGATAATAAGATAAACAATAGGTTTAAATGATAAACTCACCCTACATATTATAAATAACACATATTAATACAATATTAAACAATGCAATATTTGTAGATCATCAATCGATATGTTTTCATCTCCTATGTCAGTAGCAGACATCATGGCCGGGCTGTTAACAAGGGATATAACTCTATTTTTTTTGTGTGGTAACATTTTATATGACGAGACGGTACGCTCTCGGTTCGAGTCGGCGGGGTTGGAATTAAATAAATACAGGTCGTTTTCTTTCTTGGTCGGCAATAAAATTAGGATTGGTCGGTCGCTGAGAAACACAGAAAATGTAAATGCTGCCCTTAAGCATGAGATGAGCATCCTGCTTCAGCTTGTCTCGGGGCGATCTAGATCTATATCGATGTACCGGTAAGTGTAAAGTTTGGGTCTCCGAAATGATGTGGTGCTTATTTCAAATAGCCAATGTTGTGAAATACATACCTTTAGAAAAACATAAAAGGAGAAGGTTGAAGCAATCACCCAGATAATATTTTCTAAATTTTGATACCTTTCGCTCGCTTCTCAATCTCATATGCAGGTCAAAACAATCATCTCAATCAAACACATCTTTCAATCGCCGGCACACGCATAGACCTGGTGAAGAAAAGTAATCGAATAGCTACCATTTGCAAATAGCTTGAATGTATACACTCAACATATTTTAAACAAGGAATAGAACAGAATACCGTTAAATGTATTAGTGAGTGAGTTTAGTTTTCCACCGCACTAGGCTATATTCAAGCTATATGACAGCGGTCTGTAAATAATCGAGTATGGACCAGACAATCCAGTGATCAACATCCTGAGCATCGATCTATGCAGTTGGGATACGATCACATGTGTCAACCAAGTCAGCGAGCCGGACCACCCGATCCCGTTAGTCGCCTCTTACGACAAGCATGAGTTACTGAAGATCAATTCTAACCCGGATCTTCACGGGTTAAATGTATTGGCCTTCGTATTAGTAAATACGTCATTATTAATACAATATCATTCGTCTATGGGTGATGTATCAGATGAGTACATACGCTAGCCTTCGGTATGGATGTCGCTGTTTCAAATCCGCGGCATTCGATTTTCGGAAAACGCTTCAATCATCTAAGTGTATGTAATGAGTAAAGCGTTCGGGTATTACCAAGTGTTTTTTTCACAAACAGTTCAGTTAGGTAAAACACGGCCAAAGGCAAGGAAGCCGTAACTGATTGTAATCAGCTGTTCAAATGACAGATATTGAATATTCCAGGTTTTGAAGATTTATTGCTATGATTAAAATCAATAGTACAAATACAGTCTTTCATCAAATTGTGTAATTTTACAACGTGTCATATATTTATCAACATTAACCCGCTTCTTATAAAAGTATCACACAATTGAAGAAATCGTGAATCTGCAAACAACATAGACAAATTCATAGTTCAAATTGAATTGTGCAACTAGTTCAGCGTTATGCGAATTTCATCATTTCAGTGACTTCAAAGTGACCCGTGAAGATCCGGGTTAGAATTGATGTTCAGCAACCCATGCTTGGAAGAGGCCACTAACGGCATCGGGTGGTCAGGCTCGCTGATTTGGTTGACCAATGTCATCGCATCTCAGTTTCGTATATCGATACACATGATGTCGATCACTGGATTGTCTGGTCCAGACTCGAAATGTTACAGACCGCTGTCATACGGCTGGAATATTGTTGAGTGCGGCGTTAAACACCAACCAACCTTCCAACGAGTGAGTGAGTGAGTTTAGTTTTACGCCGCTTTTAGCAATATTCCAGCAATAACACGGCGGGGGACACTAGAAATGGACTTAACACATTGTGCCCATGTGGGGAATCGAACCATTAACCACTAGGCTACCCCACCGCCCCCCTTCCAAAGAAGTTCCAGTGAGTACTTTTAGCCAACGAATCTGGTTGTATGTTAAGTTATGCATCTATTTTGCTATTTGATCTAGACTCAAACAGCTTCAGATATACGACTGAATGCTGATAGTATGGTCGTTTTTCCTGTTTTCTTCAGTTTTAGCCACCATCGAAGTTCTACATACTTTCTTTTTCCTGGCAAATAAGACCTCGAGCTGAGCAGGTTTCAGAATGTTAATACAGTACATGATTATAACACTCAACATATGCAAAGACTTGAACTTATAGTTCATTGCTAATAATGACATAAAGCGACAAAAATGTATCGGTTACTAAATAATAAAGCTTCGACGACAATGTGTGTTCTGGCAGCCATGTCTTTCATGTGATATTCAACAATATTATACGAATTATATGGATGGTCCTGGCAAAATATTAATCCAGACAAAATCCAAATAGGTCGAATTCTAAACGTGTGGGCTGAACGATTCATAACACACGTGGCAAACTCGGGGTAAGAAGCGTCATCATTTCTCTTTTCTTTGATTGATATAAGGGTTGTTAATCTTGATCGCGGTGGGGACTGAGGGTTGTGACCGGTCTTCAGCAGCGAATGGTTGTCGTACAAAGACAAAACGGATTGGTGGTTGGTTCTTTGGACTCCTATCTCAACAGCTATCGCACTGAAAATTAATCCCAGTGATGTGCAACGTCGAAATTGCTATGCGTTAGACCCCAGATGGTCCCGTCACAGTTTTCAGGCGGTCATAGCTGTACACGGATTGCATGTCATCAACAAACTTAGCCACTGAAGCCATCGTGTCATAGTCGACACTTGACTGAGGAGGCTGACTTGCTCTACGCAGATGGTTGTAAATATCACTACTCTCGATCTGACATACATGGGACTCATTGTATAATGGTGGCAAAGTGTCACCGTCTACGTCTGACGTGAAACCCGGACGTGTTCTACGCAGATAGTCGTAACTGTGGTGATCGTGTTTCTCTCCAGTGGGTATATGGGGATCAGAACGTTGAGATGGATGAACAGCTGACTGGAATGTTACAGTATTGTAGTTGTCACTGAGCGACCTATTCTGAGTTTCACAGCCCAGATGGTCGTTGGTGAAGGTGTAGTTGGTGAAGGTGTAGGAACCACTGCTTGCCCTATGGTTTGTTGGACTGTGCGTGGACAGGTCAGTGATTGCTGAAACGATGTCGTTATCTACAGGTGATGTTATAGACACCGGTTGCCCATTCGCTTCTTCTGAAGAACTTTCTTCTCTTCCTTGCAGTTCATTTCCTGTGATGTTTTCGGGCACACTTGAAACTCTGCAAAGACGGACGTGTAGTGACTGCCTTTGAATGTTATGGATAGGTATATAAAAAGTGTATTGTAAAATGGATTGTGGTTTTGTCGATTGAGTATCAACTCAGAAACTAATGCAATTATGAAACTGAAAACCAGCAACAATTCCTCTCTGTAAATTGAACTATTTAATTACGCTTGTTTCTGAATCGTGTTCTTCATTTAGCCACAGTGACAATTAAATTCTCCTTACTGTTAAATAGTATGATTTCGATGTCAACATTAATACAGAATTATAGAGGCATTTGGGATGTCTGTGTTCAAGTAATAATCAGTGTTCTTTGTATCTACACACCCTTTTCTCGAGTGGTACATACAACTCCGTTCATTATTTTAATAAGGGAGAGATTCAGATTTACATTTATCAAAATGTTCCATTTATCAAACTGACTCTATTGGTTTAGTTGACTGTACCTATTATGTCACGGACAAGCTTAACACGCGCAGGCAGAAACATCCGACCGAAACTAGGAAACAATAAACATTATAGGAAACAATGTTGTTGACATTAGGACAGGCAACCATCCTTGGATCAACACATGAAACTTTCCTGAAACCACAACACGGCCAGAAGATGAAACTTACCTACGGTAACAGACTGACACATGAAACGTTCCGTGAGTTCAACACTGCCATATGAAACGTATCCGCGGCAACAGACCTTGAGTACAACACTGTCACATGAAACTTACCTGCGGTTACAAACTGTAATCCCAATGCCTACCAAATATAACTTGACTGTCGTAACAACAAGACAGTTAGCACAACTAACTTTCGGCCTCACAGTCTCAGCACAATTACCACATGAAACTAACCGTCGGCCACACAGTCCCAGCACAATTACCACATGAAACTAACCGTCGGCCACACAGTCCCAGCACAATTACCACATGAAACTAACTTTCGGCCTCACAGTCTCAGCACAATTACCACATGAAACTAACCGTCGGCCACACAGTCCCGGCACAATTACCACATGAAACTAACCGTCGGCCACACAGTCCCAGCACAATTACCACATGAAACTAACCGTCGGCCACACAGTCCCAGCACAATTACCACATGAAACTAACCGTCGGCCACACAGTCCCAGCACAATTACCACATGAAACTAACCGTCGGCCACACAGTCTCAGCACAATTGCCACATGAAACTAACCTTCGGCCTCACAGTCTCAGAACAATTACAACATGAAACTAACCGTCGGCCACACAGTCCCAGCACAATTGCCACATGAAACTAACCTTCGGCCTCACAGTCTCAGAACAATTACAACATGAAACTGACTTTCGGCCTCACAGTCTCAGAACAATTACCACATGAAACTAACCGTCGGCCACACAGTCCCAGCACAATTACCATATGAAACTAACCTTCGGCCTCACAGTCTCAGAACAATTACCACATGAAACTGACTTTCGGCCTTTCGGCCTCACAGTCTCAGCACAATTACCACATGAAACTAACCTTCGGCCTCATAGTCTCAGAACAATTACCACATGAAACTAACCTTCGGCCTCACAGTCCCAGCACAATTACCACATGAAACTGACCTTCGGTAACATAATGTTGCCACAGCGACGACTACAAGCAGCATCAACAGCCCAGCACCCACGCCGCCGGCAATAGCAGCAACTGAAACAAACACATATAACATATGTTACATTTGGGACTACACTTTCTCAGTACAGTACAGATTCTAGTACTTTTGTTGGGTTAAGTGTCATCCGGGATTCGGACCCACACCCTCAGAGTCAAGCACCTAATCGTCAGCAAACAAAGTCAGTCACCTGACCCAATCAGCCACCGCAGCATTGTGTATTCATGAAACAAACACATATTATCATTTCCCTCATTGCAAACATATAACCGTATAGATAGATGTCTTTAATGGACCAGGCGATCCAATGATCAACAGCATAATCATCGATCTACACAACTGTGATACGATAACATGCCTTTGGTCGCGTGTGTTGCTGAAGACCGGTTTCACCAAGGATCTCGACGTATATCCCTATTTAGAATGAAGTATGTGGCTGTATGCATCACTTGTGACCAGACCAGACAAGGTATAGCGACGTCACAGAACGATGTCACGTATTAATCAACTTTAATCCGTATTTATGGATAATTTGGGTGGCCGAGGTCTTGTTAGAGGTAGTAAGTGAGTTTTAACTTTACGCCGCTTTTAGCAATATTCCAGCGGTATCATGGCGGGGAACACCAGAAATGGGCTTCACGTAGTACCCATGTTGGGAATCCAACCCGGGTCTTCAGCACATAAACGACAAGGCTACCCTACCTCCCCATGGTCTTTTTAGAGACAGAATACATTATTGCTTTCGCTAATGCTTCTAATAAGTGATTATGTTAGTACGCATCCTCTTAATCTTAAATGATACACCCACAAACAAAATATTTCAGGATGTCCATGGGCCGTTTTCCTTTTTGGATTGTTTGTTTTTCCTTAAAACATCTTCTGGAAATATATCATGAGTTTCTGAACATTCCAAAGCAACATGCCCAGAATATATAGTGGCCAGCTCCTGGCAACATAAGCTCTATGGGCCGAAAACATATTCCACTCGGAACCGTATCGACGATCAACATTCCATTTGCAGTTGTCTTTCTTACCTGGAAGAGATGCACCCGGCTCTGATTTCACGGTCGCGGTATGATCTGTGCTTTGCGTGGTAGGTAATTGAGTTTGTGTGGTGATGAAAGGTGACGCTGTCGTGAATGTAGACGTCGACGTATTTGCAGATGCAGGTTCACTGCTGGAGGCGGTATTTGTAGTTGTAGTACCAGTGCATCCAGTTTCCATGTGTGATGAAGCTGAAATACATTGAATGAGTGAATAAAAATGTATGTCTCTTTTAGGAATATTCCAACAATACCACGGCAGGAGACACCAGAAATTGCTTTCATGCTTTCATACAGAGTACCTACGTGGTAAATGTGGTTGGCAAATGCTTTAACCACTTGGCCACCCCAGGTCAAATAGAAATTATGCTAAAAAAATGACCGAGAGAGGATATTTGCACAATAAATGTGAAAACAATCCACAAAGTGACTACTATACTGACTGCGAGCCTCTTGTATATGAGGTCTTTGCAACTGTGTCGGTTTCTCTAGCCACGTGAATTGCTGTGTTATATTTTAATTATATCAAATATTATCGATGCGTCAGGTAATTACTTATGTGGAATATCAAACCATAACATCGCAACATAAGTTATGCTCTCTCTAGTAAAACTAAACAAAACACACCAAAGTTAGGCGTTTTCATGAAACTTGTGATTGGTGGGGAACTTTCCCCCGCATACCGTGTCGCCACTGATTTTCAGTGAACTACTATTATAAATCGTGTTACTGTTTTGCCTTTTGAAAAAGAACGAATTTATGCCACATGCCCAATCACAATATGAATATAAGATATATACATGTGAGGTGCTTAAGTCAACATATGTATAACATATGTTCACAGCATATTTGAAGATACAGATACATTTACTGTAATGAGCAGCGTAACATGAAATCTTCTTTGATAAAGTTTGCATAAAGAGCTATAGGTTTATGGTTGGCAATTTGAAGAAGATCTATTAGACAATCGTTATTTACATATTCAATATCTATCATGTGTATTAGTCGCAACCTAATATAGATTGAACATGCTGCCTTTAAACGTAACTCATCTTCTAAGATATTCTTACAAACTGGACGAAATCTTGATTTTCTTGGTATACCTCCTTCTTTTCCATCAGTATACTCTGTGATTTTTAATTCTTTAAAACTTTAAAAGTGGCACATAGCTTCTCTATTTTAAAGGTTCTTTTAATGGTAGAGTAAAAGTCTAAGTAAAGGTGGTCATTTATATCATCGTCCACTGCAAAGACAACTACATTATTGACGTGGTATTGTGAGGGACTGTTCAAGGATGGTACGTGTTCATGCATATATAATTAAGAATGCATTAATCAGACACATATTTCGGACACATGATTGCATTGTGTTAGTAACAATGTGAAAATGCCATGTATGATATCGTAATAATAAGTGTGAATATGTTCACGTAACAAAATGTTTTCTGTGTTTCATCACAACTGGGTACGGGGCGGAGGGGTAGCCTAATGGTTAAAAAGCGTTCGCTCGTCACGCCGAAGACCCGGGTTCGATTCCACACATGAGTACACTGTGTGAAGCCCATTTCTGGTGTCCCCCACCGTGATATCGCTGGAATATTGCTGAAAGGGGCTTAAAACCAAACTCACTTGCTCACTCATACCTGGCTACAACTGGGTGTTTTGCCAAAATATTGATTGTTTGTCACATTCAACTATCTATGAAATTTGAGTCTATACAACGGTAAATCCGGAGTTTCCGTGTGCTCACTTTCAATCATTCTACATCCTGCATGTGTGGTCTCAATATTTGTAATCAACTACTCAACAGGCGCCATGTAATAGTATTAACGTACATTGTGTCAGTGAAGTAGGGGGTTAATATTACCTTTCACTGGCATGTCCAGAAGGTGGAACGATCCTAGGAGTACACAGAGACATATTTTTCTGTCCATAATCCCGGAGTCGAATGATATGGCATTGATGTGACATACAAATTGTATATTTACTTCCTTCCTTATGCGTAGGTAACGCGCAACCGACACATGTCACTGATAACGTTTGTTCGATGATATTTGATATAATTCAAAATTATTCTCTCAAAATAACCCTGCAAACAAACCCTACTGTCACGAATATAAGTAGCTGCATGGGGTTAAAAATCACACGAGGTAATTTGTAACTGTTCAGGTGCACAGAAGTCAGTGCAACTTAATTAACGATTATTACAATTTTCAGCTATGGTGTTATATAGTATGTATGTATGTGTGTGTGTGTGTGTGTGTGTGTGTGTGTGTGTGTGTGTGTGTGTGTGTGTGTGTGTGTGTGTGTGTGTGTGTGTGTGTGTGTGTGTGTGTGTGTGTGTGCTGAAAAGCAAAAACCCGTTTTATTTTATATATTATGGCTTTGGTATCAATGCTGTATTTTGATTAACTAGTTGTCACTTGAAGACTGAAAACAACATTTAAAAACATGATTCGAAGACTAAATGATAAGTTTGTACAACACACCAACTTTTTGGTTGGTTTCAGAAAGTTTCACTGTTTTTGGACGAGGAACAGCTCAACCAAACGCAACATTGAAAGCACACTGCACGTGCATCTCGTGTGCATACAGGGTATAAATTCCCAGCTTGACTACCGATCCTTCAGTCGTTTCCTGACTACAGCAGCTATGCCGAGGTTAACAAGGGTTCAACGTCAACAGGCCATCCGACGTCTACACGCAGGTCAACGTGCTACTGTCATCGCCAATGACTTCAATTGTTCTTTAAGAACAATTGAACGTCTCCGACAGCGGTTCAATACCACAACAGCACAGATGACCGTCCATTTAGTGGTCGTCCCCGGGTAACCACCTGTCGCCAGGACCGTCAACAGGGCAACAGAGACAGCTCGAAACACCACTGGCACCCACCAAAGAGCAATCAGTGACCGCACCGTTCGGCGACGCCTCCAAGTCAGCAACCTGTGCTGTAGACGTCCTGCCCTGGGTCAAGTACTAACGTCACCGCCGCGAACGTCTACACTTGGCACAGAGACAGTGGAGAACTGTTATCTTCTCCGATGAAAGTCGCTATTGCGTATCTGTGACTGATAGGACTAGGGTCTGGCGTCGCAGAGGAGAACGCTTCAGTGTGTGACGGAGAGAAACGCTTGGGCTGGTCAGATCATTATGGTATGGGATGGAATCGGACTTAACCAGTAAATCGGATCGGTAATTTTCCAGAATCTCGGTCCAGGAAGACGGAATGGTGTAACAGCTGCCCGGTACATCGACCAAGTCCTACGACCCCATGTTGTACCGTTTTCTGCACGTCATCGGCGTCACGTTTTCCAGCAGGACAATGCGCGTGCACATACGCCAGACTCACTAGAACATTTCTGCGCAGCATAATGTGGAAACTATGCCTGAGCCCATACCTCAACCCAATATAGCATTTGTGGGATGAGATTTAAAGACGCCTCAGTGACATTAGACCAAGGCCGACAACTGAGGACCAGCTGCGCACAACGTTCCTGAGGGTGTGGGCTCGGATTCCTATGGCCTATGTGAATCGCCTCGTGCACTCTATGATCACGAGGTGTGCTGCAACTGGTTGTCACATCCGATATTTCCTTCCAGTGACGTTATCAAACAACACCCGTGTGTGTGCGTGTGTGCGTGCGTGCGTATGTATGTGCGTGCGTGCGTGCGTGTACCAGGTTCCTCACGCTTGGGTTTGCTCGTCATATTACCGTCAATTTCCTCAAATCAGAGTTAAAACATCCCCATCCTGGCTACAAAGTACCTTCCACTAAACGTGGATGGGCAATACAAGATCAGTGGCATGACAATGTCATGTGAAGTACATGTCAATACAGTAGTCCTTATTGGAGTGTAGTTCCTGGTTGTCACATTCACTCAGCTACCTGTACATGAGGCCCGATGGAACTAAGTGTATTTAAGGATTGACTGTGTATTTCTTTCGTTGCATTGAGGTATGAAACTAAAAACCAATGTGCAAACTGTATGAATCCGCGTAGCGGATTCTTACAAAAGTTTGCACATTGGTTTTTAGTTTCATACCTCAATGCAACGAAAGAAATACACAGTCAATCCTTATAATTAAATTCAACAACAAATACTATAGGCTTTCAACAATATTTTATTTAAACACAATCAAATTCATCGAAACAGATATCTTTGTTACCACCGATTTACGGATTAACATTTTCGGTGTAAGAATTCGGTAATGGCGTGACATGACTCAGGTGACTCATTTACATAAAATGACACGCCTACCAAACCATTAGCCAATCAGCATAGAGCACCCCCAAACAGCTGTCAATCAACCAAGCTAACATCGGGGTTGCGAATCAGAGCGGAACAAGACAACGTGACGCATGCCGGTAACTGCAAAGTTTCAAGTTCAAACATTTGAATTATTACCAGCGAACTGAAAGACACAGTTTGAAAAGTGAGAATTGGAAATGAAGCCCGATGACATGAAGTTAGTGGAACTGAGATTGTTAGTGGCAGCAGTATTTGCGCAAGTCGAAAGGGGCTGTGATGTGACTGGGATTGCGATGCCATGAACTGATGTTCCAACGTGCGCATGCTCTTGTCGAGGCGTTACAATGGCGGAAAGCGTCTCGCTAATTCTTAGTTTTTGAGTAGTTGTTGTGTGGCGACTATAACTACGCACGGAACTTTCATTCCTATGGCCACTCATAAACATTATGTGACGAAGTTCAAAGCCAGCGTCACTCATGGCTTGGATTGCTGTGGCGCGAAGGCAATGAGCAGTGTATGACTGACTACATTGGGCATTGCGACATATGTCAGACATGAAACGAGTGAACTGGTATTTTTTGACTGGGGTTGCTGTATACCAAATGTTGTGTGCGTCTGGAGAACTAAGTGCATCTTTATTACAGTGCGAAAAAGTGATCCGGCATTTGGGTCACTTTTTGTCAAGGAGCTGGCGAAGTGCATTGACGGGACATTGGTTTATATCATTCGTCGCGTACATTCGTTTGTCGCTTTGCGCTTCATCGCTGCTGAGACGACCCTGGATGTTTTTTTGTTTCGTTTCGTGGGACAGTGTGACATATTCAACATTGCTATCATCTACCGCAAATTCAAAGGATGTGGGCGTAAGCTGCTGGTGAAATTCAAGACCACGACTTACAAAATGGATGGCCAAGTCGTACCATACTTTGTACCGGAGGATAACAGGATTCGATGCCGAATGCAGATAAGTGCTAATTTTCATCAGATCACTTGTTTCAATGATTGATTTATGTTGTGTGGGACGTGACAAGCCATGTTGTACATTGTATTTTAATTTGGCATCAAGCATATCATTTGCAGACTTAAACTGCTTATCTCTTACAATGTCAATATCTCTCCCGATATCATTTAAAAGCGTCTTTTCAGGGCAGAACGAACATTTTTAAAGTGTTCTTGTGATACTCGGCAGCATGTGCAGCCTGCATATTTTCACATCTTGTTTCCTGTTTTTTAGGCTGTGCCTCAGTGTAGAAAAATCTCAACTTTGTGTTAAGTTCCTCTGGTGTAATTGTTGAAAAATCCACAGTCCTCCCCTCGCTCTCGAACGACCAATCTAAATAAACAGAACGAAAACAATATCTAGAAACCTGACTATGACAGACCCAACTATGTAAACTTTGAACTAGGTAACTTTATAGCAAATCATTTTTCTCGGTTAGATCTACATAATTTAATCTCATTCTGATAATTGTTCCATTTTTAAAAATACAACTTTGTGCTGATGAACGGTCTTTCGTTTTGAGAAAATATACGTAGGATGGAATTTGAAAATAATATTTATATGAATTGTACGTGTATATCTACCTTGGAATAGTTTAACACCCCATTTTGTGTTTCTTTTTGTGGATGTTGATTGTCTGTAGTCTGCCATTCGAAGTAAATCATTATTTGATAAACGTTTGAAACGATGTGTTTGGGATGGCTTATCATCGACTTGCATTGCACTAGTCATCTCGTGATTGCCGATGTTTTTGTAGATCTGGTTGATGCTGTTATCTCTAACAAACTTTCAATTTCTTCCAGGTCTAAATCATCCGGAAAATCAATGTTATCCGTGCTAAGATTTGCAACGTTTCCAGTAGACTGATCTTCGAAAATCGGCTCAAAAATTCCCAAGATCGAAACTTCCGTACTTGGAATCGGCCATCTTGTTGGAATGTAAACAAGACAAGTTGCAGACGACCGTTCGCTGACTGCACGTGGTAACCACTGTAACCAGTCAAATAATGTATTATGACAAACACTTTTTTATTAAATAAACACTTTATTAACGTTCACGGATAATTTTGAGTTATTTGTTTATGTTAACCACAATGTATCACTTCAATGTTTATCCAAAGTTCATTAAGGTACCCGAGTGCAAGGGAATTCCCTCGCTGTGTAAAGGTATTCCCCGACATTCCTCAGGTCCGAAAGAAGTCCGGTTCGGTGGGCGTGGCTTATTTTTTTAGATTCATTGGGAAATGAAATCAAAAGAAATGTTCCCAGTTAACCAATCAGATTGCCAGAATTTTAATGAACACAATAAAAATGTAATTATGTCCACTTGTATACAAGTAGTATGAGGGACGTTATAGAAAGGTAGATGCAAACATGTAGCTGCTGGTGGATTGACTGACTGACTGAGTTTGGTTTTACGCCGCTTTTAGCAATATTCCAGAAATATCACGGCGGGGGACACCAGAAATGGGCTTCACTCATTGTACCCATGTGGGGTTTCGAACCCGGGTCTTCGGCGTGACGAGCCAACGCTTTAACCACTAGACTACCCCACCGCCCCGCTGGTGGATTGAAGTCTCGGAGATTGAAAATAAACTCAGTAGCTTATTCATTATGTTGAACTGACCAACAGTGTGTTGTAAAACCAATCTATTTAACAAACATTTTACTTTATAAGCTTTGGAAAACTCTGTACTCATACGCAGCAGTGGAAATTCAATATTATCTAACATATTACGGTCCATGGGTCACTTGAAAGTCTGGTTTGTTTATATACCTCTATCGCATGGCAGGAGTACAGTTTTGCGGCGTCAGGCAAAGACAATGCTTCCATTTTAGGCAACTTTTGTGAATTGTTTAGGCAAATTTTGAGAATTACCCTTTTTGCTAACAGCACCTATTTTCAGTGATCAATTTCAACAGCTATGATTCCCATTACACCAGACCCCAATTTGTTTCTGAAGAGTGAGTCAGTGAGCTTAGTTTTACGCCGCTTTTACAATATTCAAGCAATATCACGGCGGGGGACACCAGAAATGGGCTTTACCCATTGTACCCATGCTTGGAATCGAACCCGGGTCTTTGGCATGACGAGCGAACGCTTTAACCACTAGGCTACCCCACCGTCCTCGTTTCTGAGCATAGTCAATTCTAGGTATTCTATTACAGAGGCATTCCTATTCCCATTGCTTTGTTCCGTGGAATATCACTTACCTGGGAGGACTTTGTCAGTATGAACACCTTCCTCATTATCATGTTTATAAGGAAAAAAACATCAACACGTGTTTCAGTTCGTGTCATACTTTTACCTGTCAGTTCAAACCAATCAGGCTATATCTATAACTGTCCTTGTTGGCTACACGCCCTGGCGACTTTGAATATCGTGTCAGGTGTGTCGGTGTGAGTATCAGCGTTGACGAAACACTTCCTGGTTCTACGCGATAAATGCCTAGGTGTAGGCTGCCTCAAAAAGATCTAATGAAAATGACTCATTTATATGTGATCGTGTCAGGTTTCTTTCCGGGATTAATTTACTTTGCTTTTCTTGCTGTCTATCTTAAAAATAATGTGTTGTGCAATAAAGAATACGATTTAAAGAAAGTCATCAAGCTGACAACATTGGCTGGAGGACAAATTGCTTTTGCCTTTCGCAGCAGCTGGAGAGATTAATCCGTGACGTTACACTGCTGAATGGACCGAAACATAGAACAGAGATACTGGACTATGTACAGAGCATACGTTTAATGTATACTTCGGTGATGGACCGAATCTCAAGAAATTGTCTTGACTCGAGATGACAAACAACTTCCCTTCAGCATCCAGACCGATGTTACAGCACTTTTACACAGGACCTATTAACTAGCCACATCCGGTATATCACATCACCCATCTCTTACTCCAACAAACATCCGCGAAAAGTAGGTAACACAAGTATCCAATTGCTTCGACTCAGCATCAGATCTCGACCTAATCCCATAGATCCTGATACTCTCATTGCAACACATCATGAATTTGATGTGGTTCCGATTTGGCTATTTATTTCTTGTCGGAGAAAGCATTTGCATGGATCGTACGCACATATTATGACACATGCGTTACCATCACCGATTTCTCTTTATCAGAATGAGACCGCCTCCGTGGTGTAGTGGTTAGAGGGAAGTTAAACCCCATTTCGCCTCATCAAAGTGAAAAAAGCCTCTTCATTTAACGAATAACTGTTAAAGATATGTTTATGTACTAGTATTCAACTTCCGATTTCTTACAGGTACGTGTTTGTATCTATTGCAGAAAGTAGCAACTGCGACTCCCAGTACACAAAAGATCGAAGTTGTAACTTGAAGAGAACATGTGAATCGGAGTGTATTAATAACACTGACACCCAAAATAGTGGATAAATAGATCACATGAATGTCCTTGAGTATACTGCACATTGATAAACCTCCTGGTAATATATAAGTATATATGTATCTGTGAGCAGATATCACACTGGTACCAAAAGGATGACTAAATATACCTTACGGTAACGACGTGAAGAAAAACAAAATAACGAAATGTGTCAAATGAAAAAAATATTATTTTTTTTATTTCTTTTCATTTTTGTAAAATTTACGTTCACTGTACAAGGGGTATATTAGTATATAATGGCAACTGTCGGCACATGAAATATGTGATAAAACATCGTACGAAAATGGTATGACACAAATAGTTACCGTACATATATAATTTTACGTAAGAACTACTTTCCACTATATAATGATTAATAATATGGCCCCATCTTATGTTAGGATATTTAATATGTACATATAAATATAGTAGCTCCCGCGAAAGGCATCGAATGTACTGATTTAAAATCAGAGCAAGAAAACATGTCGCTAAAGCAGTAATGCAGAGAGCAAGAAGGACATTGTCGTGGTGTCGCCAACAGGAAAAAAGCAAAACTTATGTAATGTACCAAAGCGAGAAGGGTACAGCAACGCGGCATTTCAGACCATTTACGGTATATCCTCATCCTCACGGAAATAATTGCTTTCTCGTGTCATTGCTTCCAATACTATTTGGGGCACAAGAAGGTCTGTTTAAACCCCGTTTCATTTCAAGTCTTTCATTTGTGTTTCAACTTTCAGAAACCATACTCTTGTAAAGCGCGTCCTCTGCATTGCTCATCCGTGAGGAGATAAGGTGGCCCAGGATCCCCTCGTCCCAAATAACAGGAGCTCTTCTGTAAAGTGCGACAACAAGATGACCACCGGATGATGGCGCTTTATCTTTCTGTGAGGAGGTAAGGTGAACAAGGATCCCTTCGTACCAAATGCCAAGACTTGAGCTCTGGAGTAATACGACGACACCGACAGTCCATGGAGGCACTGTATGTCTCTGTGAGTAGGTAAGCTGAACCAAGATCCATCGACTGACGGTTCAGGAACCAAACGCCAGGTTAATATCCACTGATCTGTCAACTTCACGGCTGTTTTATCAATCTGTGTCACCTTGGGTTGTCTTCCACCGTTGTGCAAACACACCATGACAAAAGTGACTATAGTGTTTAAATAAACATCAATTCCAAATTACACATATTCCATCAAACAGACCTACACGAGACAAGTCTAATGCCACAATTATAGGGTTCAAATAAAATTGCCCTCCTCTGCCTGGTAGACTTGTAAAATTCCTTACAATCGATAAAGTCCCTGTGTAGAACCTTTCCTTCCACCGGGTGGGCAATACGTCATACGCTTAGAGCAATCCCTTCCCTGCTTAGTGACTAGTGTTTGCATCATCTCAGTTTGATCCCGGTTTAACACAGGATCAGCATCCTTGAGTGAGGGATCCAAGCTAATAGGTTCTTCAGAAATAGAGGAGGATACATTAGACACGTTGTCATGAGGACGTGGTTCGTAGTTTGAAAGAGACTTCATTTCGGGGTCATCACAATAAATGGGGTTAAGCATTTGGATATGTGGCATGGATTCTTCAGGACTGATTATAGAGGCAGCAATGGACGTCATTCCTTCTTCTTCAACATCATAGGTCTTTTGATGTCGGAACCTATAACAAGTAGAGGGAGAATGCTGGTTCATTTCCTTCTGAATGTAAGCTGTTTTGAGGTGTTATTTTGTTTGTTGTTTAACGCCAAACTTAGCATTATTGCAGCTATATGGCGACGGCCAGTGATCAACAGTATGAGCATCAATCTACGCAGGTGGGACATATGTCAACCAAGTCAGCGAGCTTGACCACCCGATCCTGTCAGTCACCTCTTAGGACAATCATGATTTGCTGAAGACCAATTCGATCCCTTTCGAAGTTAAGTTACAAACCTTGACAAATCATTAACCAGATGACCACAAGGAGAGGGGACAGGGTACTCTGTGCTACTTATAACTACACTGACCTGCAAAACAGCAAAGTGCCCGAGATGAACAGGACAAGCAATATTCCTGACATTATGCCGACCACTACCCAAAGCACTGAAAATACAAGAAGCATTTTATATAGACATATACATTCATCTTCAAAGGTTCAAAACATGGTCAGTTATGCAAAATGATCGAAAACGAACATCCCTGATTATCTTGCTGCTGTTAACGTGAGTACAGAACAGATTTTGTGTGTCTGTTGTTTCTGCTGTTTCCGTAGTGGACGAAAATATGGGCACAATAGTTTCTAAAATCTTGGAATGGGACAACTCTACAAAACCTTACAAAGTGATCAAATCCCTACATTGAATGATCACTTACAATGATGAATAGATCGTATTTCATACATGTGAAGCATAGTGTCAAAATGACGTTAATTGCAAGTTGAACTGTGAATTGTATTACCAGGAAAGCTGTAGCCTGGAGAATTGGCATCAGGGAGAGTGTTATTATCTGAACTTGGAATACTTTCAGAAGTCGCCGGTGTCAGTGTTGTAAACGACGGCTGGGATGATGGTGTTGATGGCCTTTTCTTTGACACTTCCTTAGTCGTCCCCAGCACGCTTGCAGTTGTTTCTGGAGCATTCGTTAATGGAAGTGGTGTAGTTAGTGACGCTTTCTGCGTTGTTTTGGCTGATGATGTTGGCGAAATACTAGACGTTAGACTGGTACTTACAACAGATTCTGTCTCCGGTGATGATGTTTCGGCTGATGATTTTACTGAAACACTAGACCCTGTACTGGACGTTACTACATGGCCTGTCGCTGTTGCTGATAATCGGGCATGTGCCTTCGTTGAAGATGAAGATGTAACTCTTGATGTTGAATACATTAGAGAAGGTGTCGTCACCAGCAAGCTTGCAGTTGTTTCTGGAGCATTCGTTAATGGAAGTGGTGTAGTTAGTGACGCTTTCTGCGTTGTTTTGGCTGATGATGTTGGCGAAATACTAGACGTTAGACTGGTACTTACAACAGATTCTGTCTCCGGTGATGATGTTTCGGCTGATGATTTTACTGAAACACTAGACCCTGTACTGGACGTTACTACATGGCCTGTCGCTGTTGCTGATAATCGGGCATGTGCCTTCGTTGAAGATGAAGATGTAACTCTTGATGTTGAATACATTAGAGAAGGTGTCGTCACCAGCAAGCTTGCAGTTGTTTCTGGAGCATTCGTTAATGGAAGTGGTGTAGTTAGTGACGCTTTCTGCGTTGTTTTGGCTGATGATGTTGGCGAAATACTAGACGTTAGACTGGTACTTACAACAGATTCTGTCTCCGGTGATGATGTTTCGGCTGATGATTTTACTGAAACACTAGACCCTGTACTGGACGTTACTACATGGCCTGTCGCTGTTGCTGATGTTCGGGCATGTGACTTCGTTGAAGATGAAGATGTAGCTCTTGGTGTTGAATACATTAGAGAAAATGTTAATGATGTTGTTGATGGTGATGGTGATGGTGATGGTGATGGTGATGGTGATCGTTCTATTGATGTCGATGTTGGTATTGATGTCGATGTCGATGTCGATGTCGATAACGATGTTGATGCTGATGATGTTAAAGACGTTGGTGGTGAGGATGATGCCAATTGTGTCGTCTGTGCTGAAGCGGTTGATGTAGTTAAGGATGCCATGTTGTTTCCAGAAACAACACCAGACGAACAATTGAGCTGCATAGTAACGTCTGAAAAAACAAATGATTAATGATAAGACATGGACAGATTTAAGCCATGTCAACTTAATTGAAGGAACACCCGACGATATAGGCCCTAGGCTTTCACCACTCGGAGAAGTCAATTAATACGGGCTCGATGCTGTCACAGAAGCATAATCAAGAAATCTGACATACGATCGTGGGATTCTGCCACGACCAAGGGGCGCAGCTCTGCAATATGTAGATTTTAGGATGGTAGGCACTCTGCTAACCCCTCTCTGATAAGTAATGCTTTTATTATAGGACGTTTACACATAGCCAGCAGATCGTTACAGATACATACTTGTTTGGATATGCAGACAATATCTAGCAACTCCATGTCCTTTAATGTCCACTCTCAAAGCATATGAACTGTTCAGAATGGTGGTAGCGTGATTCTGTGTGCTCAGGCATTCCAGACTATATCTGAGATCAGTAATACGGATTTTTGTGCCGCAGTTCATCTTGTCAATATCTCTTGGGTAGATTTCTACAAATGCATGTCCAGCACTGACAGCAAGATCGCAAGAACACTCCGTGAACTGATCTGAGTAGAGGCTTGTGTCCAGGTAGAGGCTGAGTCCGTCTCGGCTGTCACCCCGACACATTCCTACAACTAAATGACTCAATGTCATGAGTTACTGTTGTTTTAGGGCGTGCAATTCTAGTTGTATCATTGTGGTCCAGAAATATGCGATGTGGGCGAGATACCTCTGTGCAACTATTCCTAGCGTCTGATTGCAAAAGCAAGCGTTGACATAATAAGGTCGCATATTGTGCTGTTCCTGAGCCCAAGAGGAGACTGAGCTGATCCAGAATGGATGGGCAATTACGTACAAACATTATGACGGCCATTCTGCTGGTTCTGTGCAAGAAGTCACTTTTAACCTAAACCGCCACGTTAGTCAGTAACACTGACACGAATATAAGTCATGACGCACAATCATAGAGGAATCATGTATTTACCACAACACGGGGTGTGTAGATTCTTCTCCCGAATACACAGATTCAAGTAACTTCATTACATAAATACATAAAAGGTGAAGACGCAGTGTAACCAGAGAGGAAGTCTAACCCAACACTTTCAGGTTTCTTTGAAGCGACATTTATACTCTTTGGTCGCAATCGACAAAACTTTCGTAGTACTACGTCATTCGCAATCATATGATAAGCTATATAGTTACGACAGCTAAGAACGCTTTGTGGATCGGACCCAGTGGTCAGAAATGCATATTGTGACTTGAGTTGGTAGCAGTTTCCTCTTGCGATGTTACAATTATACAAACTGAAGATAATGTTAGTAACTTGAACGAATATAATAGTTTAACTTAAAGCACATATGATAATATAAGTTGTTCACTGGTCACGAGGGGGACATGGGCTGATGTACCCTCCATGTTTGTTCATGTTCCGTGTGCCTGAAGAGCGAAGAAACAAACATAGAGGGTATAATGTACATCAACCCATAGGCCTCGAGGGGACGGTGAACAACGTACTTATCTTACTGAACACTTCAGTGCTAATTTTGAACTGTTTGAAGCACGGGTATCGGATCATAATAAGGTGTACCAGAGTTGGGCAATTAGCTAATACTAGATTTTCAGGTGACATAGAATCTAGCAGACGACAAGAAAAACAAATTTAGAGTTATCTCCGTTCCATCGATTTGCATTCGCAAAACATCGGTAATTTTCGTACATCATACGTGACTCAATTATTCAAGATATAAAATCTACTAACATGAAGTACCAAATGAATTCCCATAGTTCGGTATTCCGAGCGGGTAACATAGAATATCATTCGTAACCACTCGCCTCTTTGGGCCGTGACCTACAAGAAGACTCGTACCTGTATAGTACACCACTATTGCAATAATCGTGGCAAACCAATCAAATGGGATTAAGTAAGACGCATTTCGAAGCATGAAAAGGGCGCCACCGTCAAACTTTGAAACTTCGCTAAACTTTGCAAAGCACAATTAAACACTTTCAACGGGATATGGGATAATCTAGGAGTAGCCATGATTGGAAATTCAGAGTTATCTTGCCTTGGAAGTAGTGTTGGACAATTTTTGTCTCTGAGCCCGTTTGCGCTTGGACACACAAGGCCCAGTCGTTAATATGGCTACGAGATGGGTATGAGTCGTCATCCGGTTTGCCGGAATGACACGAGTAGTTACGAATGATAGAGCGTGTTACTCGTTTGTAAGAGCGCTCAGTCAGTCAAAAAAAGGACATTTATGTGTGAGGTAAGACACTAGTTCTTGCATGCACAGCCTAAAATAGGATAAAACACACCTGGTGCAGAAGTCGTCGTGGGACACACAGACACTGTAAACATAAAGAGTGCGTTTGAAATCATATACAGAATCAGTTTAACTGCATGTAACATCACTACGCATTTACTTATGTGAGAACCCGTAGATCGGGATTAGAATTGGTCTTCAGCAGCTCATGCTTGTCATAAGAGGCGACTAACGGGATCGTGCGGTCAGACTCGCTGTTGTGGTTGGCATATGCCATCGTATCACAATTTCTTAGATCGATGCTCGTGCTGTTGATGACTGTACTGTCTGGTACAAGCTCGATTATTTACAGACCGCCGCCATATAGCTTGGATATTGCTGATTGCGGCTTTAAACAACAAACAAGCAAATGCCATTTGTTGCCTGTACGTCTAAATGATGATGTATCATTGATTATTCTATACAATTATAGACTGGTGATGAGGTCAATACCTGTTTTTATGGACCCGCGAAAAGCAATATTGACCAAGGACGAAGTTCATTTCAGGTATTGACCTCATCACCAGTCTATAATTGTATATCCTTGGTCAATATTGATTTTCGCGGGTCCATAAAAAACAGGTATTGACCGAATTCGCCAGTCTATAATTGTTTTATTATGTAATTACCGAAAAATAAGCTTCTAAAATCCAAAACATGTCCATTTAGTCAAGAAAAGTAATTTTATTTTCACTACAAACCAATAACGTTATGTCAACAATACTGTGGCATGTAAACAATAGAATGGCGTCATAGCTTGACGTGAATGACGTCATAGCTTGACGTCAAAGTAACTTAGGTCAATATGACTTTTGGTCGGACCTGGGTTGGAGTCAATATGCTTTTCTGTCGACGGTCACGTGACCGCCTCTACAACAATCAGGTAGCCGGAAAAATATGCTTGCATAATAATATTAATTCGACTAGTTACAATTGAAACGACATAATACCCACATTCGTTACCATCTGTAGATGGTGACACGGGAGATGTTGTGAAGGACGTGGTTGAACCTGTCGATGTTGACATTGCTGAAACAGTTAAGTATGGTGTGTACACAAGTAATTTGTTCATTTGGACTATATTCAGTATTTTTAACATAACTAGTTCATTTTGTATGCATGCTTAATTATTGGCAGGATCGTTTGTTAGAATTCCAACTTCAATCTGACAGTTTGTCATCAATGGCGTCGCCGACGTGGAGAAGACCATACGACACTACGGCGTCACTTCAAGTTTTATCCCAATGTTGGTACAGCATGAGTGAGTGAGTGAGTTAATATTTAACGTCACATCGGCAATATTTCAGCCATATCGTGACGAGAACATTTGATATTGAGGTACAGCATGAGAAATGAACATCGTAACAAAATAGAGATTTAGAATGTTACGAAAAGAAAGAAAGAAGAAAAACAAAATCTTTTGTGACAGCTGTATGAAAATTATGAAGGAATTGGGAACATACTAAAACCGTTCAGTAGATAATGTGACAGCCATCAATCGATCTTGGATAATTATAAGAAGCGGACATTTTAATGTAAAAGTCTTCAAGCCAGTATTGTGTATTACGGACAGACATACACTGTTTAGAATATTCCAATCTTCTATTGCTACCATTTTAAAGACCTTAGGGCGAAACCGCATTATCAGTGGTTCGAGTTGCGAAGGGAGCTAACTCTAGATACAGTTTCGTATACAAAAATCGCATGACGTTGAGAAAGCGATAAACTGCGTCCTCCGTTACTCAAATCATCATTAAAGATACAGAACAATTTAGCGAGTCATTTCCATCTATATGAATAGCAGCATTTTGCTTTATGTTTGTAAGACGTAGTTGTCATTATTACTGAAGTGTGGGTCACTTACCAGCTGGTTGTTAGAGGGTGTCGGATGTGTGCCCCACATTTTATTCGAATTTAAATGAATCCAAGAGAACCAACAAAACTGCGGGCATCAAAGTAGACAGAAACGTGGGCCCACTTTTTAAAAAATTCTATTTAGCTATTTCTCGAATTGGTCTACTTTTTAAAATTTGACTGAGAAAATATATTATTCTTACCTTTAAAGAATTACAATTGAAAAATATTTTAAGTGATTATAAACGAACACATGCGTACACATTTTATTCATTCAAAACAAAAAGGCACAGCGTGTTATTTTACCCAAACATGTGCAAGGCCCAGAGCAGCCGTCTGACATCAGCAGCAATTATATAAATCGCCTTTCGTCACGTTTCGTGTTTCATTTTTTCAGTAAAATCAATCACTTATCGTCAGTGATCAATAATGCAGTTTGGGCTCTATGTTTGTTGGTTAACGCCGCTCTCAGATGGTGGTTTGGAGCAGACAATCCAGCGAGTGACATCATGAAGATCGAGATACGGAAATTAGTACTTGACAAGCATCATCCATTTCGATCCTACTACGACAAGCATCGGTTCCTGGAGGTCAGTTCTAACCCGGATCTTCACGGGTGTCAAATTACATGTCAATAGCCCCAAATGAAATCATTGATTCAAGCTTTACTGAAATGTGTTATGTTGTCTATTTGTGTCCTCTGCGGGCACTCCTGCGTTTTCCTATACTGGCTCTTTGTTATATTTTCACTAAAACATTTATGTCAATTTGATCATGCTAAGGTGCATGGGGAAAAATATTCGTGACGTGAATGTGTTAATGACTTATGACACAACACCAGTCATACTATATCAAAGCCTACTATTAATAAATATAGGTGGGCCCACGTTATGAGGAAAGTCATAAATCACCGGGAACGTTTAATACAAAAAATAATAATTCAACCGTGTAGATTGCGGATAATGTGTCGAAACGTCTTCTTTTCCTTGTTGAGCCAGGTCTCATACAAGCATTTCATAAGTTAGACTTTGTTATATTTTTTCCTTCAATTCCTATCATAGATTATACTATGTTTGTAACCCATCTCCAGTATTCGCCGCATTACTTAGAAAATCGGAGTAAAACAAAACACAGTTATTTTGATTTAAGATAATAATTGATTTATTTAGCGGTAAGTTTCCATCGACAGGTGCTCATTTGTACTACAACAAAATGTAACGAAGACAAAACAAATGCATAAAAACTATCCTGAGAGTCCAGAAATGCAGATTTCCTTTTTGAGGGGAGGCTTGAAGACGGGTAAAGAGAGTGTGAGAGAGTTAAGTTTTACGCCGCTTTTAGCACCAGATACCAGAAATGGGCTTCACACATTGTACCTATGTGGGAAATTGACAGAAGACAGAACCTGGTTTAGTGGAGCTCCACTGAACGATCGTGCACGTGCTAGGAAATATAAGAGATAAAGTCTTTAAGGTATGAAGGATAGGCATGACGTTTAAGTACTATCTCGAGTAATATCGATGTAGTCTATGTCTACATTTCCTGGCAAGAGACAAGAGTAATACCATCTGAGCGAGGAATACATCATTCCGGAGATATATTTGGGTTACAATGAATGGAACGTCTGCTGAATCCATGTCCTAGCGGGCACACAACGTTGAGTCAACGTTTAATCAACGTTGACTTTTGGTTGTTTGTTTGATCAACCTTTCATAAACGTTGATTCAACGTTTATCACGCGACCAAAGAAAGTTAGTCGAGATTCGTTTAGTTGTCAACGTTGTTTCAACATAAGGAACCAACATAATTGTTTCCTTGGCAAATTTGATACATAATTCATATTGGTAATAGGTATCGAACTTAGTAACTATCATTTCGGAACATTCATTTCATAAAAGATCAAGATCGAATTAGTGACAGATATAATCTTATATATTGTTTGATTGTGCATCGATCAACGGACGGAAATATTACGTAAATCGCAATTGAAAATGAAAAGATCAATGATTTTAGGTATAGAGTCATCAGTTATCCGAATTGCATTACATTTGATATTTTCCCACCAAACTGTCAAAATTGTATAATTCCCGACAATTTGCCAGATGTTGACCTTTCGATCGTGTCACCCATTTTGTGTGTGTGTCACCCATTTTGTTCAGGGGAGCTAAGGGGGTCAGCAATTTTGTACACACGTACTATGTTTAATATGATGCTTAGAAATTATGGGAAGGGGAGAGGGGGTCATTGATTTTGTACATGACATGCAGGGTGGGGTGTCACTTATTTTGTACATACATTTTACGGTGTGTGTGTGTGTGTGTGTGTGTGTGTGTGTGTGTGTGGTAATTCACATTGTACATGCTTCTCGAAAAAATCATCATCACCCCCAAGCCATACATTATGAACGGTCCCTAAGGGCAGCTGTACAAAATCGAATAGAACCTTTTTATCAACATTTGTTCGTTTGAATAGACCTATCAGTAAATTGTGCATTGAGCACGCTCTGAGCCCTGTGAACATATGTATATTATTTGGGGGGAGGGGGGATGGAGAATGGCGAAAGGAAATCTTTCTCAGATCATGCAACGAAAATTCACATCAAAATGTCTTGTGCAAGTCTTTGTTAAGGATGAAATTGTATATAATTTATTTGAACTTTTATTTATTTACAAAATGTGTAACTTCACTAATGATTCTTTGATTGGACAATTAACAAAACTGCACCCATAGACTTTCATTCTTACACTTGTTTGGAAGGGATGTGATGATTCATGTCTCTTAATGGTTAAAATGTTACATACAAAAGAATTAATTTAGTAAGGAACATTTAATTATGAAATAAGATTTAATTTTAATGGAATTTGCAGAAATCTCATCTTCGAAGATTGGGTGGCTTCAATTTTGTAAATCACATAAAAGGAGCAATGCTAAGGTAACAAGTTTTTAACATTTCACTTGTTTCCAGTATATCCGCCACAAAGTTTAAGAGAAAGATGATAATGCTCTTTTATTACCACCTGTTTTGAATATTTGTGATAATGTTTGGTCTTTTTTGGTGATAATAGTTGGTCGTTATCTTCATTTATATATTAAGGTTGATCATGTAAGAGAATAATTTGACAACGATTTCTCCCGGAGATGTTTAGTTTAATGAGCACTCCCTTGCTTGGCGTCATATTGTTTTTCGCCGTAAAGAGCTGGATGCGAGATAGCACGCGAGAGGACAGAAGTCATAAATTTATAGAGATATATAGATGTTTATTGCTGTGAGAGACACTCTTCAGGTATTTGGTCAGCTGTAGAATTTCAATATGATGTTTTTTATTATTGTCAAAGTGTAGGTTTTTCATTATTTTGCATTTAAATGTGTGTGTGCAGTGAAACATGCTGAGATTTGGAAGAGTCCATTATTTAGAGTACAGGTATTGTTAGATATCAGCATTTTATGTACATGTTCCCTTGTCAAGATCATCTATCGAGTATATTAGAGAGAAGGTGTATATTTGTAGTGTTTTAAATCAGAGTTATTTTCAGTGTATGACCTACATTTCAATATGTTTTGGCCACCTGTCACCCCTTTGGTCAAATAGAGTAGGACTTCCATTTCTTGGAATTGAGAGTCAGAGATACACTGTTTCCAAGAATTTGCGTGTGCCAGCGATGTTTGTTTACGAGTACATTTCAGTCTTTTTGAGTGTAGATTGGAGTTGTAAGTGATGTTATTCATTGTCTTAATTATATTCAGGTATGATAGATTATTTCTGGCAGTGTAGAGTTTAATCTCATTATTTTATTGTTCATGATTCAGAGAGGCATAGTTATGACGTCACAGATATTATACGAACACTTCATTATATGAGAGATTTTCTAAGCGTTCCTATAAGAGATTAAGTGTAAACATTTCTGAATTATGAAGAAGTTATTTATCTGAGTTTTATGAGTGTACAAATGACAAAGAGAGAGAGAGTAGATAATAGAGAATATATTGTATACTTATGAGAGCTCATTATTGTTTTCAGAACTCCATGATCCATTCTTCCTTGTGTTTGGGAATAAATGGTGTTGGAATACCTCCCACAATAGACTTGTTCTTTGACCTGTGAACCACCACCCATTTTGTTTTCTTATCATTTAATGTAAAATGGCTTTGGTTACAGTTTATGACTCCTGTTAGCAAAATTGCTACATCAGTACAATTCCTATTTAATTTGAAATAATCGTTTCCGAGAATCTCTAAAAACTAAAGCTGACAAAATAACAACAATCTTCCATTGTTTTGCAGGACAATGTCAAACAATTTGATGTCAAGAATGAATTTTGATGGGCAAAACGGCAAGTTTTCTTTTAAGAATACAGGTTGTATTCAATCATCTCTGGTAAGTTAATTACCAAATGCAGCATTTTCATCATGACCATAGCAAATAATATATGACAGTAAAGCATCGTCTAATTCATCCTAATTCATAGTCTAATTGAATAATTAACTTGAAATTAAGGATTTTCTTTGAAAATGTTTAAGAAAACTTCCATGCCTTTAGTTTAAAATATCAATTGTTTACACTTTTCGTCATATTTTGTATGGATGCTGTTCATATACATGTTACATATGTTCACATGCCAAGTTATAGCAGTGAAATGAACCTTTCAAGTGATTGATTAAACTAATACTTGAATCATTTAAGACAATATATCTTCCATATAAAATTATTCATGTATTTAAATATACAATTTCAGAATGTGTCCTATCTCATGGGAATGAGATGGGAATGCATCCGAAGCAAACTTCAAGAAAGAGATAGGAACGTTTCTGAAGTATCCACCTGACCGCCAGGCAGGGAGTGGCAGAAAGAAGAGGAGCTGATAATTGTGTTTTTGGAGTTGTAATTGAGTTGAAAAATCTGAACTGTGGTATTGAAACTGGAGGCGTAAATGTCAGTTTAATGTTATATGCAGATGATATTGTGTTATTAGCACACACCTACAGACTATGTCATGTGTAATGTTTTACATTATGCTCTGTGTGTGTGTGTGTGTTCATAAAGATTTCATGAAAAGTGACTTGTTTTATGTGCTGTCTTCACGTATAGTTCCTGGTCATCTTGGATCCCTTTCATGGTGAAAGTAATTGCATTGTGTTTATTCAGGGGTCTGTCTAATACCTGAAATTCAGACACAATGTCTTCTCGGGACAATTTCCACCTTTTCAAGATAACAATACAACAGTAAATAGTTTTTCCTAATTTGGAATACTCTTTTCTTCTTAATGGAATTATACGTCCAACTGACATAAAACTTAAATAAACATTATATTGAATGTGGAATTTTAACCAAGTATTTTATCAGGTAAATATTTTTACTGCAATTTTCTGTTTGAACACTGTTTATTGCAGGTAGCTTTTTGGGTGTTTTAACTGGATGCAGGAGTTTGGTGCTACTTTAGTGTAGTTTAAAGATGAAGTGCGAGTCTATTTACAGGAAAGCGTAATACCTCCCATACACAACCACGGAACAACCCATTTTCAACGTTAATAATATGTCAAACTTCAACGTTGATTCCACGTCGGATATCTACGTCTAAAAAACTTTCATATACAACCTTTTTTCAACGTTGATAATAGGTCAAACTTCAACGTTGATTCCACGTCGGATATCAACGTCTAAAAAACTTTCATATACAACCTATTTTCAATCTAATTTTAACGCTGAGGACCAACCTATTCTCAACGTTGAAACAACGTTGATGTGCCTGCTGGGGTGAAAAATCTGGTCCTAGTTTCTGATTTACAGAGATTAACATAGACACCGAAACAGAGAACAGAACATGACATGAGAATAGAAGTGATTTTAGCAATAGTCCAGCAATATCACGGCGGGAGACAACAGAAACAGGCTTCACACATTGTACTCGAACCTGGGTACAGGGCATGACGAGCAGGCTTATAACACAAAGATAACCGTCAATGACCGGAGCAAGGAGACGAAGTATTGGCTGTAATTTTTATATCGACTTCGCGTCACGAAGGAACCTATTGTGATTATAGAAACCTTTTGTCGCTTTTATTTATCATTAATACTCTCTTATGTGCAATTAAACGCTTTGAAAGAAAGGGGTTTACTGTCAGTACCATTGCTCTCTCAGACAATGAATCCACCTGGGGAATGGAACCCGGGTTTTCGGTGTGACGACGGGAAGCTTCTGAACTAGGAAGCCCTTCCACTCCTCTAACTACATAGAAACAACATCCACTGTCAATGGTCGACATAACCTGCCCGTTATTAGTTTCATAAAGAGGAGAATTTATATCCCAAAAGTCCGTTATTAGTTTCATAAAGGGCAGGATCTAAAACCCTAAAGGTACGTTATTTGTTTCATAAAATGGAGAATCTATAGCCCCAAAGTCCGTTATTAGTTTCATAAAGCCAGAATCTAAAACCCTAAAGGTACGTTATTTGTTTCATAAAGGGCAGAATCTACTGCCTCAAAGACCCATGATTAATTTTAATAAAAATAGCACTCCAAACGGTCAAATGTACATTTATAAATATTCAATATTTCATTGCAGGTAAATTTGTTGAGGTAGGGAGAATAGCCAGTAAGCAGCGAATGTAGCGAAGATACAGCTGTGTAACATATCAATGGAAAACACACTCCCATATCTGTTTTTATTTTTATAACAGAACAACACATTTGTTAAACAGTATCCAAAACGGACCGTTCTTACCTGTGTTACGAGTGAAGCTCCAGATTATGAAGTATGTGAAAAGGTTCAAAGCCCAGGCACCCATTGTCTCCCCTCCAAAACCAACAAAGCTTTGTGCAGATCAATCAGTGTTGACTGCGATATTATTGTGATTATCAGTTTCTAATGTGAAGGAAGTGTATTGTGAAGGAGGAAGTTGAATGGGAGATAGGCTGGGTCTAGTTAGCTCCAGTTCGATAACCACGCTACCCGTAATTTACATGTATGCAATACTGAGTAATATCAATACTGAATATACGAAAAATCAGATTTTCTGGAATACTGGAATAGAAAGAGCTTTTGTGGTAAAGTAAGCACATCTGCTACAATCGTCATTAATGGATTCTACCATATTAACACAAACTAAACTGACGAACAAAAGAAAGTACACACAGTGTTTGGGGAATATTTTAGAAACAACGTAGTTACTGTGGAAAGTAAGTCAGTGAGTGAAAATTGTTTTACGCCGCATCAGCAATTTTGCAGCTATTCGCGGCGATATTGTTGAAAGAGAGCCAGTTCATCTAGCCCACGTCGGTCCTTTCCTGGTAGTGTGCGGAATGTTCCACCGGCAACAGGAACAAATTTGAATCAGTTTGGTAGTGCATTCACTGTAATGAGAAGACCTTCAAAGCACAAGCTATCCCAAATGTTCAACGATACTGGTTCCACCGTCAAATTTCATATTTGTTTTCAAACTGCAAAAAATTGGGGCACCGATACACACTTGCTCAATGGATTCTGCAAAGATGGGCAAGGTAAAACCAGAGACCAGCTACATAGCAATGGCTTCTTTTATCTCTTCCTCTACGAGGTATATACGTCGTACAGGAAAATTAGGCAAATGATGATTAGAATATAGCTATCGTTGAGGTGTACATTAAAAAATATTTTTTTTGCTTTGCATCTAGACGCAACATCTATCACCCTGAAATTACATGTATAAAAAGCATCAGGAACCAAATAATATGTGCCTATTGGGTACTAATCACTGACGCAACTTGGGTCAGCCGATGCTTAAATATGCCTACGAGAGTGTCTAAGACCAGAATAATATTTGCACAGATTAAGAGGCAACGCCAGTTTCAGGGTGCCCGTATATTTTGCAATTTGAAACAAAAAAGAGAAATTTCTCTTCTGCCGGACCAGGGATGGGAGGAATAGCAGTGGGCACTATGCGCACTATGGAAGTGACTAGATACATGTCAAACCAGGGATATATATATCTGTCTCTGTCTCTGTCTCTCTCACTCTCTGTCTGTCTGTCTGTCTCTCTCTCTCTCTGAAACCTCGCAGGGGCTGTGGGGTAGCATAGTGGTTAAAGTGTTTGCTCGACACGCCGAACGCCCAGGTTCGATTCCCCACATGGCTACAATTTGTGAAGCCCATTTCTGGTGTCCCCCCCCCGTCCGTGATATTGATGGAATATTTCTAAAAACGACGTAAAACCATAGTTAGTCAGTCTCACCTCGCATGTTTCAAATCATGCAATAATTTGCGTGTCATCATTACCCAAAGTATGAGCTTTCCAACGTAAACTGTCACAGAATTGTTTATGGATTAATGTAGATTTATCTATAGCCACATCTTATTTTACAATATGACGACTCAACCGGCCATTGTCTTCAGAATATGAGGTTAACAACATGGTACCAAAGAAGTAGTTAGATCAGTTGGCCAGTGCCTCTGGAACGTTGTAATACACTCTGTCCGACGTCGACTGGGAAATGTCAATCGACTGATATTCATTTTCATCTGATCGTTCTTCAAATGTTATGTAAACCTCGTGTGGTTCTGTTTCTTGTTTGATGTGCCTTCCACAAAACGCATGTCTGAAAAACAATACATTTCTCAAACGTCAATTTGAAACTAAACTAAAGTGCGATATGTACAGCGTTATATACTCCTCAAAAACACAGTAAACGCGAAAACGTGTGAATTAAGATAATGGATCAGGTTTGGTTGTCATCTTGCCACATTCGAGAAAAGAACATATATGGTCTTAAAGGAGTCTTTGTGCAAGAAAGCAGCCACCTGCAAACTACTCTGTCAATAAGCTAACACCAATCGTTTTAAAAGGAGGAGTGTTATTTTCCTGCAATTGGGCCTCAACTCAAGGTCTCAAGAGATGCCTGAACCCATTGAAAAGTAGCGAAACAGCGTCATCTACCGCTTGGAAGCAGGCAAATCCAGAGCTGTCGTTGTCAGGGCATTTAGTGTGACCGCAAAGCACCATTCCCAGACTATGTAACCGATACCAACACCTTTGTTCTACTCGTGTATCTAGATACGCTATACCACGTGTTAAAATCTCCCCCAAGGCCGGTACAATGAGACTTCATTGTCTTACAATTTCAGGGATGTCAAGTGCAGGGTGTGGCCCTGGTTTATTGCTTTTTAACGATTGAAGATGTACAGCTGTTGTGGAGAACATTTCGCGGCAAACTGCATCGGGAAGGTAGACAGGTTTAGCGGAGCCAGGACTCCCATAACGCCGGGACCAACCTGATCGTTAGGGCAACCTAACGACCCTACGCAAACCTTGTTTTCCAGCACGCCAACGTCAAGACTCACAAAAAAGGTGCAACCTACATACCTACACATCATAAAGTTGACGTTCTATCTTGACTCTGCAGATTACCAGATTGTCAACATTCACCGTGGGGCAAATTCAATCTATGATTGCGTACATAGGCAGCAGAAGTCCGGCGGTTCCCAATGTTTGGGGCGGAGACATACTTTAATGACTGCAGGTGACCTTGACCTTTTACCCTTGATCTGCCACTTTGTTTAAAGGCTGGTTAAATTGGGGACCAATATGCACAATTTAGACACCCTCAAATCAATTCTTATTTCCAAGATCACCTATGTACGGTTTTGTGTTTCCTTTTTGTAAAGAGTAGGTGTGCAAAGTTAACTACGTATAGTCGTGCAGGTGTTCAAGGTACTGTCTTGGAAACGTAGAAGTGTACAAAACGTATACAGAACAGTGGCATATAGTGTGACATTTCATAAATATAATGACACACCTGTTGAACCACATCACAATGGATACGACCAGTATGATAATGAAGAGACCGATGACTCCCAGAATCCAGCCCAATGTCGTTAGCTCTGAAAGACAAGATGTTATCAGATGAGAGTAATACTAACATGTCACCCACCAGGGAAACTGATGAAATTAATGCATGATTGCCTTTCGATTGATGTCAGTTTGTTTCAAGAATAGTAAACTGAAAGCTTCACAAACCTACCGATTGCCTGTGGCGGGTTGTATACTGTTGATGTTCGAACTCGTGTGAAAGATGATGTAGTTGTAGTTCCATGCATGGATGGTCCTCTCGACGGTGTTGTCCGTGTTGGTGTTGTCGATGCCTTTGTGGTTGGTGCTGCTGTAATAGGTGCTGATGACTGTGCTGGTCTTTGAGATGTTGGTGCCTGTGTTATTGGGGCTTGTGTCGTCGGTCCCTGTGTGACTGGGGCTTGTGTCGTCGGTCCCTGTGTGACTGGTGCTTGTGTTGTCGGCCTCTGTGTGGTTGGTACTGGCGCAATCGTTGCGGCGATTTGTATCTTTGGCGAACACGTTATTGTTATCGTTGACCCTATCGGTTATAAACAACCATTTAACAACAGATACATGAACATAGTAATTTGACCAACATAGTAATCCTCAATGTTTCCATAACAATGACATTTGTAATGTTTTGGTAACATTATCGCCATGGTAGAGTTATCATCATGATACTATTCTTGGCGATTATTTTGTGTCACTGGCTTGTGTCTAGCTACAAGGCTGTACTAAATGCTAAGCCATCGCTGCATAGTAATTCTATCCCTCAAAGAGGCAAGTCTAGATAAGGGGACATTGTTTATATCTTTTTCGAAATTTTCATTGAACCTTAGAGACTTGTGCAAATCTAGCTTGAGTCTAACAATTTGTGTAATTTAAGAAACGGGATAATCATGAAAGGAATAGTAATACTGAAGAGCCAGTACCCGTGGCAAAGGTGCGCGTCATGACACAGGCGTCGATGGTTCCCGGACCTGTCATGTTGTACATGACATCAGTATTTGCCGCCACATTACCGGTGTACGCGTTATCCTGCAGGCAGTGTACGCTGTAGATGTTGGAGTATTGGCTTGGCATCTGTTTAAACACATTCACTCGTACTGAACAGCTACTGAAGGTTGAGCCCCTAACAGCATATATCTCCACCTGTCCACCACTGGACTGAGTAGCGGTACAGGAACATAGCTCATTGCCCTGGACGGTGGTGCTGGCGTCGATGTAGAGAATACTCCCCGAGGTTGTTCCGCTCTGACACATCTGGATGACTACAATACAAAAACATATCATTGACAATTAACAATCACTCGAAAAGTCAAGTGAGTTGTTCACGTGAACACACCATTAAACATGTGGTAAAATTCATAATAGGGGGTTTCATACGAAATCAATGTTATCCCGAATACGTAACATAAGGGAGTGTCCTCAGTAGTATAGAGCGGCGTTTCAGAGCCTGTTTTTTTCGTGTGGATGCGGGTGCGGGTTCGTTACTTAATATGCAGGATAACTCATTAATATGCTAATGTATGCATGATGTCACAGGTCAGGAAAGGTCAATGAATGGTGGGTGTTTAATACAGTCATACAGAATATCCGTCATGGGTCGAGAAAACAAAAGCAAAGTGTCATGAATAGACAATCAGCGTAGTTCAAATGGTGCGCGCAATGACGAGGCAGTCATGTCGCCATGTATTCTCTATAACGCTGAATACAGTGAGATTTTAAATAGCCCGCGCTCGCTAGAGCGTGCGACCTGTTTTGATGAATGCAGGGTGTGTGATGAAAATGTATATATTCTCAGTAACAAAAGTTTAGCAACACCCACATCTTGGCAATTGTAAACTCCAGAAATGTTAGTATGAAGTCAGTAATGTAAGAACTGGCATGTCACAACGCACAAACACACCAAATTTTGGGCTGTACAAAACGCACGTGCATCCTGTGTGCCGAGTCAACGCCGCACGTCTAGTTTGCAAACACCTCATAAACTAAGGCGTTTGAACGATAAGAAACGCTGAATTTCCCTCTACGTTAGAGGAGTTGCTAAACTGGGACCCCCTGGACGGAAATCGTTAAAGGAATTGTTAAAAGCATAGGCTATAGATAACCATTCAACCTTAAAACAGCATAGGAATGGTGAACTGAACAGAACGAAATGTGTTTCAAAACATGGACTTGCTGTATAAACAATTGCGCCTTGAAGCAGCAGCATGTATATAGGGTGACTGAACTGTTGACTTTAATTTTCCAGAGTGAATCCTTTTGTCCATTCGTATATCACAGCTTTGTATTGGGCAGATTGACTTGAATCAATAAATGATAGGAGTGAATTGTTTGTTTTGTCAGCTTTGCATAGAATATAATCTTCATATACCTCGATGATAATATGTGAAGTCCCTAGACAGACATCGACACACACTTCACAGATATGCGAACCTTCCATTCATACCAATACATCTAAAAGTAATGTAATCATTTAAATTATGACTTTAAACGCGTATTTTACATGGATTTACCTTTACAAGGATGAGTGCATTCCGAACAAACGCTACACCCTCCTGTTATCAATATGTAACTGTTTACAGTTGGATGGTCTTAAAATACCCAGAGTTATGTTGACCCTAGACATGTGTGCGGGCGAGTTCATCTATCTCTTTACAAACAGCTTGTCTAACTTTCATGGTGTACAATTTGTACACCGTACAGGATGAATTTGATCCAGCTAGACGTACATTTTTCCTACATTACCCGGCGTTTATAATGTTGACACAACCCGTCTCTATTGTGGTATGATGTACTTTCAACACACGCCCTACATTCATCAAAACAGGTCGCACGCTCTAGCGAGCGCGGGCTATTTGAAATCTCACTATATTCAGCGTTATAGAGAATAAAGGGCGACATGACTGCCTCGTCATTGCGTGCACCATTTGAACTACGCTGATAGTCTATTCATGACACTTTGCTTTTGTTTTCTCATCTCATGAAGGGTATTCTGCAAAAAACACCCACCTTTAATTGACCTTTCCTGACCTGTGACGTCATGCATACATTAGCATATTAATGAGTTATCCTGCATATTAAGTAACGCACCCGCACCCACACCCCAAAAACAGGCTATGAAACGCCACTCTATACTACTGTCCTCCACAATAATATAGTGTGTTAGTGAGTATGGTTTTACGCCGCTTTTAGCAATATTCCAGAAATATCACGGCGGGGGACACCAGAAATGGGCATCACGCGTTGTACAATTGTGGGGAGTCGAACCCGGGTCTTCAGCGTGACGAGCGGACGCTTAACCATTAGGCTACCCCACCGCCCCCACTATAATATAGAGTGCCCGTACAAGAGAATATCTAGTTTTGACTATCTTCAGAAACAAGTTCCGTTTGGTGTAAAGGGAAAAGTGTGAGTGAGTTTTACACCAGTTTAAGCAATATTCCAGCAATATCAAGAAAGGGGTCACCGGGAATGGGCTTCCCACCTTGTATCCATGTAGGGAATCGAACCCGGGTCTTTGGCGTGACGAGCGAACGCTTTATCCACTAATCTACTTCACCGCCCCTAAAGGGAAACGAAATACCCTTGTAAATTATATGCATTGAACAGATCACTGAATAACAGTTTATGACACCAGGTGTTCGCGAAAGGTCTTAAAGTTTTACTCAAAAGATTTAAATGTTTCATTTCGTATCAAGGAAGGTTTGAGAAACAATATTTGACGTTCTTTGAAATTTTCCTAAGAAGGAGCAGGCTTTGTTGTGTCTACCCTATCACATACCCTAAACGGGATGCATTGTTTTCAATAACTGTCACTTGAATCAATAGTAGGTGATGCAATAACTTACAACTTCCCACAGTTGTGAGTGATATTAGTTCATAGATATTTGATCAAAATGAACGAATTAAGGAATCTATAAGCGATAGTGACGTAAGAAAGGAAATGTTCTGAGTGCCTTCAATCTTGAAGGACGATAGATGGAAAATTAAAACCTTGACGTTGTTGGATCAGTTGTGCCTAATTTCCTCCATCATTTGTCAATCATTACTTCAGTCCTCAAAGCTAACTGCGTATGAATCACCCGTCAGCGATATGAAGGAGTGTGTACAACTTTTCTTACAGCGCAATGGTTCAATCATCCATACCCGTGAAGATCCGGGTTTGAATATTGATCTTCAGTAACCCATGCTTGCCGTAAGAGGCGACTAACGGGATCGCGTGGTCAGGCTCGCTGACTTGGTTGACAAATGTCATCGGTTCCCAATTAGATCAATGCTCATGCTGTTGATCACTGGATTGTCTGATCCAGACTCGATTATTTCCAGACCGCCGCCATTTAGCTGGAATATTGCTGAGTGCTGCGTAAAACTAAACCCACTCACTCACTCTGTTCAGCCAACATAGCCGGCGGTCTATGACGTTGACGCGCATTTCTCCATATCGAGTCCCTGACGTGTTCATAAAAAGAAAGGTCTTGGCTGGCTGCTGGCTATTGCATACTGTGAACGTTTTGTTGCTGGAGATGAGCCTTAGCGGTTTGTGCACGGTGAGCTCGGGTGTTGTCGCCCTGGGTGAAAAACAAAGGTCGACCAAGACGCCATGAAAACACAACAAACGGTGCCAGTGTTGTCCCAATAGTACTGCCCTATGACGTTAGTTGCATAATGGAGCAATGCCATTCCATCCCACGCCATGGCCGATCCGGGGAGTTGGGGTAACCCATTGCTTCAAGCAGGTTTGATGTTGCGCATGGGTACAATGTGTGATTTCCCCCTGTGATACCGCTGGAATATTGCCAAAGGCGGATTAAAACTTCATTCATTCATTCATTCACCATAGCCGATCTACTCTCACATCTGCCAAGAGGTTGGCATTAGCTTGACGTTCATTTCGACGTCGCCACACAAGAAGAAAGGAAGTACATCATTGACAACTGTAAGCAAGATAATGGTATAAAGAGTCCCTTGCGCATGGATATATGCTACATGTTGACGATATCTGATCGAAATAAGGGAGCCTAAAGTTTGCAGCAGTTGGATAAACCGTTTGAGCGTGATTTCGTAGAGCCTGGTATTGGATCAAACGATCCCGTACTCTTGACCTGGGAGGCTTGAGCGGTGTTTGTTGGTACCTGTTGCACAGTCTGATAATCACAGATTGTAAGACACTGAACATAGGGCCGCAATGATTCACCCAGACCTCGATATTAGACCCTCGATTCGATCATTAGGGCTCCTTGCCCTCTATTACTGACGTCGCCCTTGTCAATTACTGATCGAGTCACAATTAACCATTAGCCAAATGAACGGGAAAATTGTTAGAAATCTTAATAGCAGCTTACCATCAGAACCGCTTGTAGCACAGGCGGCTGGAACACAAAAAAACATAATGTTTTAATATCTCCAATAAAACAAATCACTCTTACATAATCATTAATAATAAACTACACCAAAATATCATAGTAATAGAGTCATCTGGCAATTAAAGTAAACATATGAATGAATTCGAAGCATCTTAAAATTGATTATTGATATTAGTGAAAATGATGCAATAAGTGAGCGGACTAGGGTGTCTTCCACAGCTGTAAGCAAAATGCCACCAGTATCAAGGCGGAGGTAGCCATAAATGGACTTTAAACATTTAATCCATGCAAAGAAACGACGGCGGATCTGGGGATTGGCGCGCCCAGGTGGAATGTCCTGGACTGCACTTGCACCTCATTTCAACGAACACCAGAGCACGATATAACGCTAATGTATACAAGCCTCAGTTCAACCTAAGATCATTCGAGTAGTGTTTGAGTGAGTGAGTGCGTGCATGCGTGCCTCAGTTCAACTTAAGACCGCACGAGTGAATAAGTGCGTGCGTGCGTGCCTCCCTTTAACCAAAGATCGTCCGAGTGAGTGAGTGAGTGAGTACATTAACAGACAGATCAAAACTAACCGCCCCTGAACAAGATCTTTGATCTGCGTCATCTACTGCCACCGAGACTGCACGACGGTTTAAAGGAGGCTTCAGACCAAACTATCTATAGTACAATGGCCATCCCTGTATTAATACGTTTGTATCGACAACAATGTATGCGACTAGGCAACCGGCATTGGTTCTGAGGAACGGGCGGCAAGTAGGTTCAGTGATGAATCAAGAATCGTTTTTCAGCGAAGTGTGTCCGACAGGTTGACATATTTGGTGGCGGAAGTGTGGTGGTGTGTCATATCCTCAAAACTGAGATGTGACTCGTTGAGGTATCTGACAGCAAGTCATCAACTGGTCAAATTGTTCAACGCACCTTCTTCCGATTTCGAAACGAAATAGGGTGTTGTTTCAACATGTCAGTGCTACACCACACACACATCACTGTCGAGTCAGAGTCGTAATCATAACCATCATGGATCAATTGTTCAACAAATATACAAATATAATCTAAAGCTCGCTGTTGTGCCATGGGCTGTCACATCCCCTCATCTGAACCAGGTGGGAATCGGTTTATGTGTACATCAACACTCGCCACATACACTATACAGATCTGGCATAACTGACCAACGAGGTAAGAATGGAGCAGAATTAAACAGGCTGGTTGACTGGTTGTTTTACGACGCACTCAGCAATAATCCAGCTACATGGCGCCGGTCTGTAAATAATCAAGTCTGACCAGACAATCCAGTGATTAACAGCATGAGCATCGATCTACGCAATTGGATACTGTCGTGTCAACCAAGTCAGCGAGCCTGACCACCTGATCCCTTTAGTCGCCTGTTACGACAAGCAAGGGATGTTTGAAGACCAATTCTAACCCGAATCTTCACCGGCGAAGTATGCAGGACAAAATCCCTAAAGGTATCCCATGGAGGTGTTCAGTGGTGATAACAGAGTGAGTGAGTGAGTTTAGTTTTACGCCGCACTCAGCAATATTCCAGCTATATAGCGGCGGGTGATAACAGAACGTTGAAGCCACACCAGGTACGGATCGGAACGCCCCTTGTGGACGTTTGTGTTTTGTGACAGAACAAACAGTACTGACATTATGTCTACAGAAAACGGACAGCAGCATTGTATACTGCATCAAATTAAATAAATCATGCATATATTATCTTAGTCTATGAGTTTCTTGTCATCCAAGGGGCGGTGGGGTAGCCTTGTGGTTACAGCTCGTCACGCCGAAGACCCGGGTTCGATTCCCCACATGGGCAAAACGTGTGCAGCCCATATCTGGTGTCCCCCGCCGTGCTATTTCTGGAATATTGCTAAAAGCGGCGTAAAACCCAACTCACTCACTCACTCACTCACTCTTATCATCCAAAATTGTGTTCTGCTGGAGATATTGCCTGTGTGAGATCGAACGATATCTCTTAGGAGATCGTTATGACAGTACATTTTGTACAATGCCCTGACAATGCTATGGCGTCATGAACTTGATGACGTCACAGAAATGCGGAGACACTAGGTTGAGATTCTCTATTTATTTACAAGAGTACACTTTAAGCTGACAAGCTGCGGCATAGCTTTAATACGATCCTTCGTACTAAACTGACTCACTCACATGAAGAAAACAATAAAAACTGAACAAAGCCTTTGACATATAGTATGACCAGAAATTATTGAGAATTTTAGGAATATGTTTAATTGGATTTCTAGTATAAACAACCTTGACCAGCTATCAAGTGATTGGTTTCATTCAAGTGAGACAACTCCGTTAATCCTTTTTCATTAGTTTGTGAAGAGTTATCCCCCTTTGTTTACTTGCTAGCAGACGACATTTTCAGTGATCCTCAGTATGGATCATTTAGAGGAGAGGAAGTTGATTTTAGAGTATTATAACAAGGACATCACATAAGCTAAAGTGATTTCAAGTAGAACAGGCATCCCTTTGTCCACTGTTTAACGTGTTTTGAAAAATATTGCAAATGGATATGGCACTGAGCACCAGGGAGGTGCAGGTACGCCCAGAAAATTGACTGTCGGTGACAGGAGGCGGCTTGGTATTCTAAAAACAAACGAAGGAGTTTAGAAAACTTAAGGCTGGATATGATCGATAGAGGAACTGTGTCTGTCTGTAATGGGTTGGAAGAAAAGTCGAGGAATTCCATCAGCGATCATGAAACCTGAACAAAAGGAGCAAAGGTTGAACTGATGCTTACAGCATAGACATTTTAACTGGGACAATGTGATTTTCTCAGATGAAAGTTGTGTGTGGCTGTTTCCTAATACACTGAAATTCTGGACCAAACAAACTGAAAAACCTTTGTATCAGCGCCTAAAGTACAGTCCGAAATTTAACGCCCCTCTGTGTATCTTGAATTTGAAGGGAATATGAACAGTGAGCGGTACACAGATATTCTCGAGGGACATTTACTTCCATCTGCTAACGTGTTCTATGGAAATGTTTGGATTTTCCAGCAGGACAACAACCTAAAATATCGTCCAAAGCATTCACAGGCCTGGTTTCGGACCCAAAATATGACATTATTAGATTGGCCAAGCTATAGCCCTGACCTAAATCCAATAGAAAATGTTTGGGGACTTATGAAGGAAAGTGTCAATAAGAAAAATCTGACAAATATTGCTGAAATAAAAGAAGAGGTGGTCCGATATTGGGACAGCCTGGACCACGACTTTCTAACTTCTTTGATCAGTAGTATGCCCCGCCGCATTGAAGTCTGCATTGCTGCCCATGGTGACATGACAAAATACTAACTGTTCACCTGTCTTTGAATCTGGAGTTATGTTCTGCTAATATTCACATTAATACGTGAGTAATGAGTTGTACTGTACATGAATAGTTACAGTCGAGCAGGCGTTCATTGTCCTCACAAGCAGGAAGTAGTCGTTGTCTACTCAGCCCTGAGCATTTAATGGATTAGAGTATACTTGTTATACACAGAGTGTAAATTCAGCAAGCATTGCCCATTTAATATGAAAATATAGAGCTTAACTGTTGTCAGGGTGGGGACATCCATTGTGTATACTGAAGGCGGCTCAAGATGGAAGGTGTCTTTATCATATATATCTAGATCTAGCTGCAAATCAGTAAACATATAGGTATATGTGAAACCAGACGCCCTTGACGTGCATGAAGTTGGATGATGTGTACTTAGTGTAAGGTTAACTTGTTGACCATGGATCTCAATAGTATCGGAAATTAATAAGGTATATATACATTTATAAGAAATAGTTTGAAGACATACCTTCAACTGAAGAAAACCACACGTTGAGATACGTGCTGAATCCGATAACAACGACAGTTTTTAACGTCATATCTCACACATAAAGCCTTTGACAGCCGCTGGGAGAAACACGAACTGCTTGACATTCAAACCTGTTCGTATATGTTGAAACCGGTTGGGTATGTCGGGTATCAAGCGAGTTACCTCCAGGATTTCCTTGTATGTATGTGTATATATGATGACTAGCGTATCCTTGTACGAGGTACGTGCATAGCTCACATTATGAAAGATAACTCAGTCTCATAAACAACCGGGCCCAACAAGTACAAAACAATGTTAGATACAATCGATCTTAGGTCACTGTAATCAACTTTGCAATTGCCCAACTCTTCTTGCACAAACCAATCTTAGCGTGAGTGATTTGGATTTAAGATCGCTATCTTACCTAAGATGGACATCTTCGACTTGGAGGTACGAAACCCGACTCGTTGTGTGCAAGCAGGCATAATATGCTGCGCTAACCAAGAGTCTATGTGTGTGCAAGCGTGCGTGGCGTGTGTGTGTGTCTGTGTGTTTGGAGCAGGTTCCTCACGCTCACGTATGTGGAGGGGATTCTCCGGGTTGTTGAAAGACTGGTATGGACCATTTGTGTGTTTGAATATTACATTGTCCTTAGCCTAAGATTAATTTGTGCAAGTGAATGATGAGTGTAACCGAAGCCTAAGTTCGCGGTCTTAAGGATTTACATTAATTGTAGATGTAGTGCTAAGATTGGTCTGTGAACATAGGCCCTCTATATATGTAGGCAAGTGATACTTTGTAATTGTTGCCACCGTGTTAAGGGTTGATAACTTCATGCAGCATTTGCGGTAGTACTTAAGCTAAAGGTTCGAGAGATTGATGTAACCATGACTCGTATAAGGCCAATCACACGGTTACTTCTAAAGCTGTAACGTATGTTAAAGTAAAATAAAAAAATGAATACTTAATTGATAACTATACTATACACAAATAAGAAATACCATGCTGTGAAATATTAAATATTTATTGTTATTCGACAGACGCGTGAATATAGGAATAACAAAGAATTAGCAAACAATGACTCATTTCGTCTTAAAGTAATTAATGTCGGAATAACTACATGTGCACTTACATCCCATGTGCAGCTTGCTTGTAGTTTGTTCTTTAAGGCGTATTTCGTTATCATTCATTCAAGGGTGAGTGAGTGAGTGAGTGAGTGAGTGAGTGAGTGTCTTTAGCTCCTCCAAACTTGGAGATTTAAACTAATGAGTGTAGTTATTGTTAATTGGTAGACCAAATGAGGCCCTGTTATGTCCCAGGTTTACAATTTCAATAAACCCTTTCTTGCTTGCGCTGGATGATTAGTATTCATTTAGGAATACAAGTGAAAAAAAAATAATACGCTAATATTTTCCTGTTTCAAACTAATTATATACATTTATTTTTTTAAGAGCGTCTACAGTGCATGTACTTTCCGGTTTGATTTCAAAACCGTACCTACAATAGTAGCTTCTCAGAGGCTTCCGTGAGTCTACCGCGATCTTTGTTGTTTCAGGTTGGCTTGACCACTATCCCTGGTTTGTCACAGCTTATCAACCAACGTTTACCCGCCTTTGCTTTCTATTTACCCTCTCGGAATGCAGGTTACAAACTAACTTCGGCGTTGGTTTGGTGATATCAACATCATGGCGGCCAGTTCCATTGCTTATGACCAAGTTTGGAATGGTTCCAGTGTAGCAGACGATGCGGATGCGTGACTGCATCAGAAACAGTAACTTCTTGTTGTAGGTAAGCATGTTATGTCCCTGTATTTAAAAACCGGCAGTGGATTTGCACTTATAAGGAGGAGGTCGCTACAATATGAGAAATGTATTATTGAGGGGGAAACCACTATTGCGATTGCGGTAGTCTATTGCAACATATTATTGCGATACTATTGCACTAGTTTTTCTCTCCTTGTATTAATTGTCTGATTTGAAGTCACTTCCCAAATGGATGTATAGTTCATATGAAATAAAAACAAGTTGAAGTAGTTTCAGTCTCTTTTGATAACTTTTGAAACTTGAAACCCAGATCAAGTAATCCGTTGATACATAAACTCAAAGCAGCTGCAAGTCTGCACTCAAACATCCTGTATTTTGCGCTGCGCATTTATAAACGGAAGTCAGTTACTAAACTATCGATAGTCACATATACTATCGATGCATCGATAGTTTTTCGTTTCTACCATCGATTAGTTGCTATCGGAGACTCAACAATTGCAATCGACACATCGTTACAGCCTTAGTTGCACGGACAGTTCAGTCAATGTTCATCCCCATTAACACAAAGAAATACGTCCTTTCTACTCCTCCTGGCATATGAGGTCAAACATAGTGAGCTACTTGTTTAACCCATTCCTGTGAGTTAATATTTAACGTCACATCGGCAATATTTCAGCCATATTGTGACGACAAAATGGGAGGTACTAAGAATAAACATATGTATGCTTATTTAAAAACCTGCCAGCGAAGGACAGTATAACGACAAGAATATCACAATTCGATTAACACTAGTTTGAGTTCAGTGTAAAATGTTAAATCATTTCAAAACATCACAATATAAAATCGGTCTATAGATCGCTAACAACAGAAGGTAGATCACCATACTAGGGACCACGGGGACTTACAGTACATTTGCTACCTGCATGGGCTAACCCATTCCAGACAAACAACAATGGCTGATGTGAACATGCTTCAGTTTCTATAGAGGGACGGCAAGTAGGCAATGAATATGTGTAACATACACTCAACAAGGCGTTAGGAAGTAAATAAAAATATTAGTTATTAGTATTCAAGGACACAGGGTTTTAAATTTAAATTTGCTCTCAATGGTAGCATGAGTTACAACAGGACCTCTATTTTATTGATACTCTGAATTAGTGCGACAAATATATGTCATAAATATACCATGGTCTTCACGGAAGGTCTCAAATCGCTTGTTGAAATATTTCCCATCCGCACTGAAGAGTCCAAATTCCACTTGTATCACAAAACATTCACAATCTGTAAAGCCCACACACAGAACCTTCTATCTTCCTGGTGTCAGGTGCCATCGAACAGTCAGAAAAGCCACTGCCTGGTTTATTGACCAAGGCATAGGTCAGTTCCACCTGTTGTGTGTGTACTTCAGTAACTGCCTGATCAACAGATTGGCTGGGCGGACCCTCTGAAGAAGATGAGGATTCGTCATATTCTTGTTCCTCGGGAATCGATCCAGGTTCTGGAGAAAGCTCTTCCTCTGTGCCTTCGCTGTATAAAGGGTTCAGCACTGCCACATTTGAGGATGCATATTCCGAGTTAGCGTAGCCCGCTATTGGCTGCTTCCGTTCGTCTTCCTCATCACCACGATGATTCTTTTGACATCTACAAGAACAAAATTAATATGTAACGATACATTGACAAACGGGTGCATATCGATTCACTCGTCCCGCTGTATCATTGTTTTTACAATAGAACATTGTGCTGAATTGTCAATGTTTTGCAGCGTGTAATATGTTTTCATCTTATTGGCAATAGTGTAAGCGCATAGTACATTGTGAAGCAAAGCAGTCAGACCTCTTTGTCGCTTTATATGAAACAGGATGGTTTTACGCCGATTTTGAAGGAATGTGCAGGGGGAAAGCTCGTGATAACCTCTGGACACAAACAGAACTTCTGTAATGATCCTCAATAGAACTTCTATAATGATCCTCAGAAATATACAAATAACACTGAATAGATAGATGGATGGATGGATGGATGGTCCAAAGCAAATGAAAGCATTATGAATTTCTTCAAAGCATTATCCATTCAGAAAAGAAATCTGCTTAGAAACGTCTTCCAGAGAAAACATTCTGTCTCAAAAAATATCTCCTTTGTGTGTTGAAGTACGGTTGTCCCGAAGTTATTGAATATAACTTAAAGTTATTTAATATGATTTATCATTTTGCAGTCGTGTCGAACTTCAGACAGCTCTAAGTGTTAAAATTGTTTACACTAGACACAGCAGTGTAAGGCTGTATGTATTATAGAGGGAGTCCTTTGTATGTGAATGTAAGTGAAGAGATACGTTCAGCTGTTACAAACCTGTTGCAGAGTAAGATGGCGACGATCACCAGCAGTACCACAGCTCCTGCAGACACCCCGGCAGTAACTTCCAACACTTGAAAATCGCATAGAAACGTTTCATTCAGTCACGTCATTAACACAAATGGCATTTACTTTCAAAATGACTGAGTGATTTTACGCCACATTTAGCAACATTCAAACAATATCATGCGGGACAACAAATATGTTTTAAAGTTTACATTCTGTACACAGGTCTTCGGCTTTAACTAGCAAGCTTTCGCACAGCTATATAAAATTAAATCTCGATTTCAAGGTATTATCTCTGTGAAAACAATGGGCAATGCTTGAATCGCCCGCCCTGGTGTTTGGAATTCAGCCAAATATGAAAAAGGGCCATGATTTCATAGTGACCTTTTTCCTTTCAGAAAGAAAACAATGAACACCACATACCGTTTTAAAAGGGGCACGATAACATCAGAATAATCCAAAAAAGATCACGAGAGACACTTTCATAGAAGGAAGTGTTTCTTTTCAACGCAATGCAAACATTACGGAGGTATTCTGAACCACAAAAGAAACGTCGCTTTGCAAAACCAAATGCAAAATTTTGTTTTTGCAAGGTGGTGTTTTTATTATGTTTGTAACGTTTTCTTAACATGTTTTTCAATCCAAATTGACAGTTATTACCAATATCAGTGTGTTTTCTGATGAAAACGCATATCGACCAAACGCACCGAAAAAAGGCAGACAGGGTAAGAGTTTCCGTATGACATTCGTGAAAATGAAAATGCACGTGCATGTCGTGACAACCCTACCAACGAAAGCGAGTCCCAAACTCACCTGAAATCATTTTTGTTTTGACACAACCACCATGCCACGTCTTACGAGAGATCAGAGGAACCAAGTCGTGCGACGGTTGCAGGTTGTCCAGACTGCACGGAGGGTAGCCAATCATTTTAATGTTCATGTTAGGACAGCAGGAGTGGTATCAGGTCTCTAAGAGCATTCAAGACCGTCAACGCAGTGGGCGACCTTCAGTAACATCACAACGTCAATAATGACACGCTGTGCGCAACCATCTGTAGGATCGCTTCCCATGAGCGACGGAAACAGCACGCCAGACCATTGGGACTCACAACAGACCCATCAGTGCCGATACATTGCGTCGACGTTTGCGCGGAAGAAACCTCTACTGTCACAGATCATATCGTAGTCCTGTCCTCACCGCTCATCATCGCCAAAACCCACCCAAATGGGCAACTCATCATCGAAATTGAGGTTATCGACAATGGAGAACTGTGCTGTTTTCTCATGAAAACCGATATTGTGTTTCGACAGTCGATGGCAGAGTGAGGGTATGGCGAGGGCGTGGTGAAATGTTTTCCAATGAGTGTATTGTTGAAAGAGACTCGTGGGTCCAAGCATCATAGTTAGGGGTGCAATCGGTCTGAGCAGTTAGTTGACACCGTGGTGTTCCAGAATCTTGGTCCAGGATGAGGAAATGACATGACAGCTGCTCGCTATATTTATTAAATCATAAAAACCCACGTTGTACCACATTTTGGACGTTACAGAAATCACATCTTCCAGCAAGACAACGGTCGTGCCCACATTGCCAAAGCAACATTGGACTTCCTAAGACAACATGGCATCAAAACCCTACAATAGCCTGCACTCAGTCCGAATTTAAGTCCAGTAGAACACCTTTGGGACGAGATTCAAAGAAGACTGAATGGCTTATAACCAAGCCAGACAACTGCGGCTGGACTCGATCAGGCATTTCGCAGAGTATGGACCCAAGTGCCTGTGGCCATCGACCTCATTCCATGTACAGACGATGCAACGATTTCATCGATGCCCATAGAGGCAACACACGATACTGACTTTGGGGTATCTTAATGGTACCAGTTTTGGTGATTTGTTTGTGTGAACTCAAAATGTGATTCTTGAAAATGTGTTAACCATAATTGTCAAGTTTGAACTCAGTCCTCCTATTTGATTGTTAATTAGAGTGAATTAAAGTATATGCTTTAAGAAACCCCTATCAGTGCGACATTTATTTTGTGGTTCAGTATATCTGCTCTGTGACACCCTCTGTAATGTCAATGTTTTCCTGAACCAGTTTAGAGATCGCTGTATATGTATTTTTCAACAAGAATAGCACTCAAGGTTAGAAGAAAGCTCCCGTTTTGATTGTTACATACAGTTTAAGTCACTTTTAGAACCAGAAAGATATTTATCTCTCGTGACTACAAAGAATCTGAGACTGCTACTTGTAAAATTTAGATTGGGGCTATTAGATTTAAAAGTAAATGAAGGAAGAAGACTATCCATTGATAGAAATTATAGATCATGTCCATTTTGTAAAAATGGCATTGAAGACGAATTACATTTTGTTGTTGAATGTCCAGCCTATGATAAAATCCGTTCTGATTATCTCCGTAACTGTATTACAATCAGAAGTAATAATGCAGCATTTTACAAAATTGTTTCCTCATGCGATGTCTCCATTTTAAAAAGATTATCACTGTATATCCATCATGCTATGATGTTAAGAAAACAATTGTTATCCTCCTAAATAAGAACCTTCTTTGTAACCGCTGTATATGGGCCGGTGGCCTTACATACAAATAAACATATTTTGACTTTGACTTGACATTTGACACCCTGTCACCCTGTCATTTGCCATTTTTTAGTGTTGGGTAAGTGAAAGAGCAGGAATATGCTTATAATTAGAAACCATCAATCAATTTGAAACCGAATTACAGGTATAGGTATCTAACACCTGTAAATAGAAACGCAGTGGATTTAAATTAATGTATGATTAGCCCGATACAATATAAATTGTAATACATTGTTTTGATGTTATCTTGCATCGTTAAAACGACGTAACGCAATACACTGTATATTAAACGGGACAACTCATTGTATGAAATAACAAACCGATCTGATGTAGTTGTGGTTTAGTTAATAAAAGTTATCATTTGTAGAATATTACATACCAGGAAAAGTCTGTAGTGTTGCATGCTTGTCATCAATTACAGTTATGTTTTCTGTACTACTACTATCAGAAATCATCGTGGTCGTCGTAGTCTGAGATGTTACTGGTGCTGCAGTTATCTCTGTTGGCGACGTTGATGGTACGGCTGACGTGACGGTAGTTGTCCTACTTGTCGTTGCTGATGTCGGTCGGCTTGTTGTTTCCGGTGACTCCGTTGTCGAGAAAGTTGCGGATGTTATAGTAGTTGTGGACGTTGTTGTGGATGGTGTAGGCGTCGGGGTGGATGCTACTTCCGTTGTAACATATGGTGTTTCTGACGTATATGTAGTCGTGGATGTTGTCATATTTTCGGACCCAACAGGCCTTCCAGGAAAACACTGAAGCTGCAACCTTACCTCTGGAATAAAGGTTAATAAGAATAAATCCCATGCATGCTAAATAACACCATTAATTCTACCCTGTTATGACTTTCTGTGCTTATGATTCACTTCTGTCGATCGACATTCAAATTGAACACATTGTCCTCTGTTTCAAGGGATAGTACGACTTAAGAGATTTACTGTGTGGACCAGTGTGGACTATGCTGACTATGCGTGCCTCAAATCCATCTATAAAAATATGTTCCTGTTTGATCTCATGGTTATCTACGCAGCAATATTGATGATTAATAATATTTTTGGAAACAGACTATTTTATCAAATATATTCTTCTACTCACCTGTAGCTTTCGTTTGAATCAGTAAGCAATATCTTGCAGCACCTTCACCGGAAATGTCCAAACTTAAACTGTCGGAACTATGAAGAAATGATTGCGCCTGATCATCGTTTCTGTGACAATCCAGACTGTATTTGAGGACGTCAATGTCCATGCTGACTTTGCAGTTGGAATGGTCTATAGTTGTAGGGTAGATGTCCACGGACCCACCAGCAGCGCTGACAACACTAAGACTACAAGAACATCTGGAGAAGTCTCCCGAAAACAGTGTGGAGTCCAAATACATCCTCGTGCCTTGCTGGATCCCCTCACGACACATCCCAATCACTACAACAAATTCAAATCTTTTGGGGCACTTAGAAGTGGAATGCATAAGAAAAGCAAGATTTATGGATGTCAACTTCTTTATTGTGAATAACAAAACGCTTCGGAGTGTGTGCTTTTTCACAATAAAGAAACTGACATTCATAAATCTTGCTTTTCTTATACAACACATTTGAAAAACGTTTTGAATTAGAAGTTCAACTGCAAAAGTTACATAATGTCACACTTATGACGTATCTACAAATTAGATTCAGTGAAGTTTAAACCTATAGAAAGTACAATATAAATTGCTAAATTTCAAAATAATCCCGTTTCAAACATCTCTGATAAGTGATAGACAGATACAACACTGTGGAATCAACCTCCAGACCACATTAAACTTGCTCCCAATGTGACAACATTTAAAAGCAGACTCAAGTCTTATTTCTTCAGCTATGCCTCCCAATGCCCAAATTGCTAGCGCACAGAGCGCACACAACAGATCATCATCATCATCACCATCACCATCACCATCACCATCATCATCATCATCATACAGCACACCTGGTATCGCAGCCTGGGGACAAACAGCCACTGAAAGCATAAAAGTTGTAGATGAGACAGTTATATTCCAGCAAGTTGATAAGAAGAATATGTTTTGGAGTGCTTATAGATAATTCAATTTATACATAAACTTGTATATGTATCTATACTCCAGCATAATAAAACATCAATGACAGAAATGGAATTTTAACAGACTGTGTTGAAAATTCTAGAGTTTTTGTCAAATTGATTTCAAGACGTAGTGATTGCAAATCATGCAAAATAGTATATTGTTTTCTTGTTATTTTGTAATCATATCCAGTCAACGGATGCCATAATCGTAAATCATGTCATGCCGTTACAACACAAAGGATAAGCACTTTTCAAGGTCATATGTAGTGAAAATGGCTACACGACGTCAGCGACAACAGCAATATCAAATATGCCAAGTAACAATGGTGTGCTAAAAGCAGGAAAAGCACATAACTGTATCCCCCACAGCTACCGAACGCAAAGTGCTGTTGTCAGTAAATACGGTGGATGGGACACAAAGTGTGCTCGGTATGTGCATCTACAAGTGTGATGGAACCATACTATGGCAACACTTGTGATCCTTGTTCAAGTCTATTATTGCGATGGCATTCTGCACACTTAATTACCTAATCAACAAACACTAATTTATAAAACTGATGCTTACAATCATTCCCTTGTGTCACTGATGGAGAAGTGGTTATTGACTCTGTAGACGTGACCGGAGCCGTGGTGGAAGATGCCGGCTTTGTGGAGGTGATCGTGGGTGATGGGGAAGTTGCCACGTACGGTGTTGTTGGGTTTGTTGTAGATGATGTTGTTGTGCGTGATACCTCGGCAGGGACCCCAGGGGAACATTCCAACTGCAGACTTACCTCTGCAGTATATATGCAGAGCAAACACACGGTTTAGATCTATCCTTGATCACCTTTTCATGTGACTCTATTCTGCTATGTACCTTGTCAAACGTCATCACAGTACTTCTAATTACTTTCAGCAAACACAATGTCATTTTTTTAAAGATATCTAAAATAACAATTCTGGCTGTATATTGGGATTCTAATAACAATCGATGTCAATTTATCAAATCTCATTGTGTGCACAAGGCGTTTGCTGTGATTTTCTGGAATTCTGATAAGACTAGTGTCAGAAAATTATCCAAAAGTTGATTTCTTGATCTTTAAGCTTAAGGTAATATTAGGAAAAACGGTGATTACACGTTGCACATCTTATAACTTATATATTGTGTTGCGTACTATTAGTTTACTGTAAAATAGTAACTTCATTTGTGGCGTTCGTTTATGTATTTGCTTATCTATGCGTGTACTTGTGTATTCAAACCACTTGAATCCTTTAAAATTACACTTTTTTATATAATATTTTGTTTCGCACCTGTAGCTTTCGTTTCAATCAGTAAACAATATCTTGCAGCACCTTGGCCGGAAATATCTAAATCCAAGCTGTCGTTACTGTGAAGGAATGGCTGTACGTGATTAGGTACACTTTGACAATCTAGGCTGTATTTAAGGAGGTCAATGCTGATTTTTGCTTCGCAGTTCTTTTGGTCTATAGTTGCAGGGTAGATATCCACCGAGCCACCAGCAGTGCTGACAACACGTAGGCTGCAGGAACACCCGGAGAACTGTCCCGAGAATACAGTAGAGTCCAGATACATCCTCGTGCCTTGCTGTACCTCTGAACGACACATTCCAACAACTGCAGCATATTGGAACGGTATATCTTAGAACTTAAACTGCCAACGTTACATTACTGACAAATGTACCTATAGTGATGAATATATGTCCAATATAATCCTGATAATTACGACATAAGTCCTGATCTTCGTCACGATATGGCTGAGATATCGCCGATGTGACGTTAAATATTAACTCACTCACTCACTCACTAAGTCCTGATCCATTAGACGATTGACTCTGATAGTGCGTACGTTGTGTCTTTGTGGTACTTTGAATTTTTTTATTGGAAACCCCTCGACGTTATGTTTATTATAGAACAGCACGACACAATGAGATGTACCCCGTATGACAAATCATAGATATGGGATAATATTACAAGCAGCCCCCCAATTCACATCTCACCTGGTATGGAGGACTTGGGACAAACGGCCACTGAAACAGTCGAGACTTACAGTACATGCATCAGTTTATAATGAAAATGAAATACACAACATGATATCGTTTTGCTAGATACCCCATTGACAGCAAAGTTATTTTAAACTGGAACGGTTGCACGAAGTGAATTGTTGATACGGAAATTCATGAGAGTATTACAATTTCAATAGGAACGGAATCGCCTCGCTAAACATCTTAAATAGCATCAAATTATTAATGTAATCAGCTATAATTCAGTTGGAATTAAACAAATTATGCCCACAATGAGTATCTTCTGTTACTGGCAAAGGAGTGTCGGGTAGTTCAGTTGGAACGGCCAACGATGTTGGCGACGACAACGGCTCTGTGGTGACGATCTGGGATGTTGGTGAGGACACAGGTTCAGCCGACGTCCCCTGCGTGGTAGGGGAATACGTCGTGGGCGGTACGACTGCGGTAAGAAGGTAGATCGGTTATACCCGACATGATAATGAAGACACAGTTTTGATGAGAGGTGGAAACATTTCGCAGCTCACCTGATGGTGTAGTCGTTATCTGCTCAGTTGCCGTGGGAGTTGCTACTGTCGTTGCTTCATTACAATAGACAGACAACATCATCTCTGTAAATATAGACGTGTAACCATGAACGTAAACACCTAGACACAACATAAAAGTGTATGTTTAATCAAGTCAAAACAATCACTGAGACGTGCAATGCCCCTAAAGCAAATTTCAAAATCGTCAACATGTGCTGTAAATTATTTGCAGTGTTTCAATTAGTATGTGAGGCGGTGGGGTAGGCTAATGGTTAAAGTGTGCGCTCGTCACGCCGAAGACCTGGGTTCAATTCCCCATGTGGGTACAATGTGTGAAACCCATTTCTTGTGTCCCCCCGCCTTGATATTGCTGGAATATTGCTAAAAACAGCGTAATACTAAACTTACTCACTCACTGACACTCACCCGCGGCCTCAGTGTAAACCAGCATACAGTGGGAAACAGGGCCTAACCCTTCCAGCTTGAGATCAACGGTTGTGTTCACATCCAGGAAGCCACTGTAAGATCCACCAGACGAACAGTTTCTTATGAAAGCAAATGCAGAAAGAGATATGGTTGCGTCACAGTTGTCTTCGTCAACGACGGGGAAAGTGAAGCTGACGGATCCCCCTGACCTCGTGGCTGTGATGGAACACGTGCACATGTCCATGTGGGTGTTGAAGTAGGAGGTGTCCAGGTAAACCTTCTTCCCAAACAGCTGACCGTTGACGCACATCGACCTCACCATGTTCTCTAAAATCAAAGTGACAAACCGCCATGTTCTCTAAAATTAAAGTAATGGAAGGACTACGGGTGGCATAAAGTAACAAGGGTTGCTTTTGCTGTGCTACTGAACACATTATTCATTCATTTAACAAATTATATTTTCATAAGGTTCCATCCATAAATGTTGGTTCGAAGCCACAACACTGTCGTTGTAATGGTTATGTTATATAATATCTTCTTGAAAACTGCCTCTTGGAACAATATAATATTCTGCATTATCTCTGTAATGTTTTTCAATAAATGTAGTGACTTGAACCGGACAAGACGTGAAATGCATCATTCATTCAGGAAAAAAAATATTTTCATATATCTTGTATCTACGAATACACAATGCCCTAAATCAGAAATTGATCAAATGTAATCTATGGTTTATTTCGGATTTCGAATAGTCAGTGTGTATTCATAGCTTCGGCCACTGGAGTTCTGTAGTAAATTCTAGAATCTGTACTTCACCGAGAAACTGTTATCCCAAATACAACATTATGTAAATCTCTGCTGATTATATTTGCTGGGTTTTCTGGAGACGGATATGTTGATTGGTCGACTAGGACTGTTTGATTGCAACCATCCTGCTCCGATTGAACAACACACACTGACGTGTATCAGGCGTGAAGAAAACATTTGTGGACAGTAAACACAAACAACTACTTTTTCAGCAGCCGCATGCATTGTGAAATACATTGAAAAAATCCTGATATAATTTGTAGATAGATGAATGTCATTGTACAATTGGCAGAGTAAATTCATAAGTGAGATTGTTAGAGGCTTTATCTTCAAAGGGGGTTAAAGCATTGTACAATTATTGTCCTGAAAGAGTGGGTAAGTCCCGAAACATTCAACGTATATTTCCTCGTACCACAATTTATTCGTAGTATATGTGTGATTTTCATGTATGGCTATATTTATGTCCAATCACCAGTGGTTGGAGGGATGGTGTAAATTCAGCTTGGGTCCATGCAGGTAGCAAAGGTAATGTAAGTCCCCATGGTCCCTGGTATGACGACCTACCTTCAGTTGCTGGTGATCACCAGCCTGATTTTTTTATTGTATTGTGCATAAAATTTGTTTAATTTCACAGTCACAAGCTAGTTTTAATTCACTATCTGTGATAATCAAGTTATTTTACTATCCTTCGTCGACAGCTTTTTTTTATAATTTAATTGCGTTTAATATGAATTTGTAAATTGTTAAAGTCACGATATTGCAGACATATTGCCGATGTGACTATACTCACTCTCTCACTCACTCACTCAAATATGGCCTGAACAGCCTTTTTCCCATGACATCTTAGTCTGAAATGAGTAACAATGCACCTACGGGGATCAACTACACACGAAAAGACCGGAACACACGCCCATACCGGTATGACTCATATGTACCCCTATATCGCATGTCAAGCTTCTTCGTTGTAATGTGTACACGCAACTACACACAATGAGCAGTGCTATATCCATGTCAGCTTGCCTTGCAGGGCGGTGGGAACGGTTGAACGCAGCTATTGTCTTAAAAAAGTGCATTTCCTCCACTGCTTACTTGTAGGCAATCAATCAAGAATACAATTGTGTTACAACAATCATATTGTATTTGTACAGCATTGGCTAAACTATATGATAATATGTTACGAAATACGTGCCTATGTGCACTTATGCTTGACAACTTGAGATCCTATCAACAGATAGAAACGCTATTCGAGTGCTAGACATACAGTGCACTCTGTCTAATTCGGACCGACTAAAAAGTCCGAATTATACAGTAGTCCGAAGTACATAGATTTGAATGGAGTTATCTCTCTTTGACGAACACACATACACATAACGACATGTTGGATGTTTGAAGGTATACACGCAAATGTGATAGTTCTCTCATAGAAAATACATGAACAAAACCGCTAAACAAACTTTATTACTTCACACAAATCATTTCTTTTCTTAAAATGTAGTTGTTTAATAACTAAGCCTTTTACAATATGTATATGAACAAGGAAACAAATCTTAGCCTTCATTGAAAAACACACACAATCTATAGATAGCAAAGTCTTTATAACACCGAAATAGTTTCTCTGTGAGGTAAGGCCGACATCTTGATTACAAACTATGCACAAATCGTGTCTACTTTGCGATCGGTCAAGTGTAAACAATTACCTTCAGTATCGGATGTTGGGCACACAGAACCTGCAATGAAGAGGTAAAGTTACGGGGTAGGTAATGGTAGAAACAAAGACATGCTTTATCCGACTAAGTTACCCTGACACAACTGCCAAACGTGACATACATGACGTATACATGCACCCTTGATCATTTGGCCCAGGCATAAGGAGACCTAACGTTATTGTCAGGTTTCGGAAAACTTAAATCTTAATGAAAAGTATGTGCATGTATATCTATGTGTGTGTGTGTGTGTGTGTGTGTGTGTGTGTGTGTGTGTGTGTGTGTGTGTGTGTGTGTGTGTGTGTGTGTGAGAGAGAGAGAGAGAATATCTGTATAGATATAAGGGTGAAGTTCAGCTGTGTACTGTAGTGCATATGTAACGAAATCCACAAAATAATGACACAACACGAAGATAAATTGAAACGCTTTGCTGGGAAATTCGTGTTGTGTTAACATTTTATTGAAATGTAAACACACATATACACACAGAAATAGAGTGAGAGTGAGAGAAAGAGAGAGAGAGACAGTGAGAGACAGAGAGCGAGAGTTAGGAGGAACCCCCCCACACACACACACATAGATATATATAATACGTATGTATGTGTGTATACACACAGAGAGATAAATACATTAGATAAATCTATAGACAGCGAGAGAGTGAGAAAACACACGCCAGTTGGCAGTTAGTTATTAGCGAGTTAACACAATGACTCTTAGAGTTATCTCCCTTAAACATAAACTCGCTTTCCCAGTTTTATGTTCGGTTCTTCGGTCTGTCTGTGTGTCGCCTTGGCTTCGACAATAAAGTGTTTGGATTTGATTGCACGTGTCCTGGCTGTTTATCGTGGAGGCGGAACCTTCTCCATTGGCGTGGTGGCAGCGATATGGATTAACTACATGACCTACGCTTCCCGGTAACTACTAAAAACGTAAACGGTCAGTCAGTCAGCATATTGGTTGGATAGCACGTGTGATCGTTGTAACTGCCAAAATGGTGTAACACATAGAGCCACGAAGCAATGATGTCTTACAAAATCTGAGACTGTTAATTCCTTTGAGAACTGGAAACAAAATCTCCATTACACTCTGTCACTAGACCAGAATTTTGCACACTTTTTGGTGGATGGTGTGACCTGGACGAAGAAAACTCGTGATAACCCTCGACGTGGTTTTGTAAACGATGGCGATGATGTTGATATAGCCATTCGTCGTACTTCTGAACAGAAAGTGACAATGCTTGAACTTATGCTTGGCCAGATCGCCAATTATTGCCCTGTTATTGCTAGAAGCACCATTGTCAAGAAGTCAACCTCTCTCAGCAACATTTGGCAGGAAATACGTTTACATTACGGATTTCAGTCAACTGGATCACATTTTCTGGACTTTGCCAACATTTCTTTGTTACCAGATGAGCGTCCTGAAGACCTTTACCAGCGTCTGGTTGCCTTCGTTGAAGATAACTTGATGAAGACTGGGGGTAATATCACACACCATGGAGAAGAAATCATTGAAGATGAAGAATTATCCCCATCTCTTGAGAACTTTATTGTGCTCACGTGGCTTAGCCTCATACATAAGGACTTACCCAAATTGGTTAAGCAACGCTATGGCACTGAACTACGTTCTCGTACCCTTGCATCCATAAAGCCTGAAATCTCTCAAGCTATGTCCTCCAATTCAAGATGAAATTATGACTAATCAGGACATGAAAGTTATGAGAACTGCAACGTCATTCCCTACTCAGGACAAACGGCAACACTCTCGCTCAAGCCGTTTCCCTCACAAGAAAACTGACAAGTCTTGTCCTTTGTGCAAGTTGGCTGACAGACCTGATCGCCATTTTCTGAGTGAGTGCAGTTACCTTCCGGCTAGTGATAAACGTTATCTAGCTAAGGCTCGACAGATCGTACTTGCCCTTGAGGACGATTCCCACGATAGTCATGACCAAACCCCTGATGATGACTGCGACGTTAAAGAATATGAGGAACCAGTCGGTGTGATGAGAGTCCAAGTATCTCAGTCCCCCTGCCTCAATACCTTTTACCAACATCACTTGGCACGCATTACCTTGGACAGTGGTGCCACCGGGAACATGGTGAAGTTATCTGTGGCAAAGAACTTGGATCTTGACGTCAAGATTAGCACCCAGTC